GTTACTTAACATATCAATCATCTCACAGTTACAATTTGTGTGTATGTTTGTGTGTGTGTGTGTGAATCTACTCTCTTAGCAACTTTCAAATATATAATATGGTAGAAGGTTTGCATGCTTTGACCACCTGCATCCATTCCTCTCCCCACTCCCATACATACAGTATTATTTTGATATGTTTGCATTTATTTTTTTAATGTTTTATTTATTTCTAGGAGAGAGAGAGAGAGAGAGAGCGTGAGCAGGGGAGGGTCAGAGAGAGAGGGAGTCACAGACTGAAACAGGCTCCAGGCTCTGAGCTGGCAGTCAGCACAGAGCCCGACGCGGGGCTGGAACCCACAAACCGTGAGATCATGACCTAAGCGAAAGTTGGACGCTTAACCGACTAAGCCACCCAGGCGCCCCGATATGTTTGCATTTAAAATGGATGTGAAACATACATGGTTTTATTTAAACAAAAAAATTACATGTTGGTGTAGGTATTCCAAACTTTTCTTTTTGTCATAATAGGTCTTAGAAAGTCTAATCTCTGACCATGAGCCATGGTGTCTTCTCTCTCTTGCACACAGACCGGAGGGCAGTGATCAGTGTTTTCTCTGGTGGCAAGACTTCTGCTCCGTGTTTAAGACACTCGAGAATTTGGAAGTTCTGTCTGTGACAAACACTTTTATGGAGACTAATTCAGCGAAGGTTTTTTATGCGGCTCTGAGACACCCTCGGTGTCAACTGAAAAAACTAATGTGCGTATAAAACGGACCCTGGTTGGAGGGAATTCTATGGAAATAGTCTGCTTCTCGTGCCATGTTTCTTCCCCTCCTCTGCTCACATAGACTTGCAGGAAGCATCCATGTTTGTATTTCCCACTTCTAGTTGTATTGACACAGAATGGACAAACAGTTCTGTAAGTTTAAGGTGTGCAGACTAATGACTTGACATTTTGCATATGTTGTGTGCATTTTGCACGTATGACATTTTGCATGTATTGCAAAATGATCACCTCAGTAGGTTTAGTTAATATGCATCACCTCCTGTGGGGTGACTGGGTGGCTCAGTCTGCTAAGCATCTGACTTCAGCTCAGGTCATGATCTCCCGGTTCATGGGTTCGAGCCCTACGTCAAGCTCTTTGGTGACAGCTTCAGAGCCTGGAGCCTGCTTCTGATTCTGTGTCTCTCCTTCTCTTCCTCTCCCTCTCCCCTGCTCATGCTCTGTCTCTCAAAAAATAAATAGTAAAAAAATTTTGTTTTAAAAGACATAAAAATGGAGTAGGCTTCCCCATTTCACAGATGAACAAACAGGCACAAAATGATACAGCTGATATGTACTTAAAATATGGATTTAAACTGGAGACATCTTGTCTCCAGAGTCTGTTCTCATAGCCAATAGCCCATGTTCTTCCTCTTGTGCTTTTTAATACCTAAAAACCCAACAACTCCTCAAAATTCCTTGAAGCCCACCAGACATCATGTGGCTGCCCCCACCCAGTATCTGACCTGTTTTCTCTCCTGCTGTTACAACAATTATCATTAGCTCACACTTACCGAGCGCCTACTGTACATTAAGCACCGTGCAGAGCCAATTACAGGTGTTGTGTATATTCCCACACCCATCTTAAGGAGAAGGCATCCTGCTCTCCTCTCATGGACTCAAAACTGAAGTTTGGAAGGTAAGTGACATATGTAAGTTCACCCAACCAGGGAGGTCAAGCTGAACTGAGAACAACCTGGTTCGGAGCCCTGGACCACACAGAGAAGCATAGAATATGTTTAGACTAATTGAATGTAAATGGGCATGTGCTCATCAAAGGGTACAGATTTCCAGTTAGAAGATGAATAAATTCTAGGGATCTGATAAAACAGCATTGTGATTGTAGTCAACAATACTGTATTGTATACTCCAGAGTTGCCAAGAGTCCATCTTCGATGTTCCCGTCACAAGAAAGTAATGATAATTTTGTAATGGGATGAAGGTGTTAGCCAATGTGAAGGCAGTAATCATTCTACAATATATTAGTGTATTAAATCAACACACCTTAACTTCTACATTGTTCTATGTCGATCACATCTCAATAAAGCTGGAGTATAAGAAGGAGTAATTAGCCACCTTGATTGTGGTAATGGTTTCATGAGTATATATACATATCCAAACTCATCAAATTATAACCCTTAAATATATGATAGATGCATTTATTGACATATCATTAATACCTCAGTAAAGCTGTTTTTGTAAAAAGAACTAATTAGCCAATAGGATCATACTGTAAGTAGGCACTGCTTACCTCTCCAGCTTTAGACATATGAATCCCTCCATGTTGAATGAAGACTTACTCCAAGTTTTGATTGAAAATCGGTATCTGAGATACGTGGAAATACAAGGCATGGAAGTGAGATGTGAAACCATGGAGTTTCTGTGCAGAGCCTTGAGATATCCACAGTGCTATCTACAACGTCTCAGGTAAGACAAGCCTGGGGTTGAGAGAGACCTATACTGGTTTTCCAGAGGTGGGATTACATGTGTGGTCTGCCTGTCATCTTTCTTTTGATCTAGTTGTTGTTTTTTTCCAAGGTGTCTGATGATTTGAGATACATACACATTGAGAAATAATCATCACCATCAAGCTAATTAACACATCTATCACCTCACCTAGTTACCATTTGGGAGGGGGGGCATTTAAGATCTCCTCTCTTGGCAAATTTCAAATATAGAATACGGTGTCGTTAACTACACAGCCACCAAGCTGTACGTTTGATCCCCACAACTCATGTGTCTTACAACCCAAAGACCATCTTCTCTCCCTTTTCCCCCACACTCCTGACCTTGGCAATCACCATTCTACTCCCTTGTTCTAACTTTCACTCAACTTTTTACACTCTGCAATTTGATATATCCTAGATGTGTCTGAGATATGGAGACTAGAGCCTCTGGTGGTGAGCCTGACCCACTTCATACTGGCTTGCAAGAGGTGGTTGCTAAGAACACATGAGTTTTGTGAGCTGATTTTCAAACAGCATTATTAAAAAGTTATACAGATTTATAATTAAATAAATAAAATATATGAAAAAACAAAATTTAGGGGCTTCTGGCTGGCTCAGTCAGTAGATCATGTGACTCTTGATCTCAGCGTCATGAGTTCAAGCCCCAGATTGGGCATAGAGCTCACCCACACACACACACAAACCTAATAGAGCATCAAAATTCATCACCTCCTGATTTCCTTACTATACTATTATTGATGCCAGAGTTCAGCAAACTTTTTCTATAAAGGGCCAGATAAGTTTTTTCAGCTTTATGGGCCATACAGTCTTTCGTCATGACTTTTCAACTCTGCCATTATAGGTCTCAAGTTTCCATGGCCAATATGTAAATGAATAGGTGTGGCTGTGTTCCAATAAAACTGTATTATTATTAATTTGTTATGTATCTGCTAATACAATTTATTAACAGCTATTATTAATTTATTAAGAATTTGCTAATAATCCCATTCACTATATAATTTACTAATATTTATTATGGGCACTGGATTTGAATTTCATTTAATTTTAGTGTGTCACAAAATATTGTTCTTTTGGTTTTTTTAACCATTTAAAAAGCTTTTTATGTATTTTGAAGGTGGGGAGGGGGATAGAGAAAGAGAGAAAATCTTAACCAGGTTCCGAAGTGTCGATGCAGAGCCTTACAAGGGGCTCAAACTATAATGTGAGATCATGATCTGCGCCAAAATCAAGAGTCAGATGCTTAATGACTGAGCCACCCAGGCACCCCTAAAAAGTTTTTTAAATTCTTAGTTCACAGGCAGTACAAAACCAGGTGGCCAGCCAGACTTGGCCCATGGCCATAGTTTGCCAAGTCCCAGTGTGTATTTCTGGGTTGTTGAGCTTAGGCAGTGTGATGTTCCTGCGTGTCTCACCTCAACTGTGGGTCCGACAACTTCTATTGGTAGCTTGAAATCAGCCACCATGGGAGCATTCACACTAGACATTGGCAAACATTGCACATCAGGGGTTTTGTTCTCCAGAGACAATGGTTAAACATTTACCAGCACTCAAGTGCTTAGCCTCCCCACCAGCCTCTGTGTGTGACGCTGATCCAACACAACTTGAGCAGCCTCATGTTTCTATCTGCCAGCTCTGTTCCTTCACACCAATCAGAGCTGAGTGGCACCTGGATAATCTTGATGTTTTATAGAACCAGGCTCAGGTGGCCAGACTGCACGCAGTGCAGCACAGTAGTTTGCTAGCAGTCAACTTGAGATGGAAACCTAGCTTGGTAAGACAGCAGGTGCGTGATGTGGAAAGACTTATCTCATGTGACTGAAATCTCAGTCCTTCATCTTGAAGATTATCTTGCAGATAAGTATAAAAAGAAGTTGTTTCTTTTTTTTAATGTTTTATTTATTTCTGAGAGAGACAGTGTGAGCAGGGGGAGGGTCAGAGAGAGAGGGAGACACAGAATCTGAAGCAGGCTCCAGGCTCTAAGCTGTCAGCACGGAGCCCGATGCAGGGCTCGAACCAATGAACCGTGAGGTCATGACCTGAGCCAAAGTCGGAAGCTTAACCGACTGAGCCACCCAGGAGCCCCAGAAGTTATATTTCAAGGGCTGGATTGAGTCCCTGCTTCATAGTTAGAGCCCAGTTGCAAGACCATGCCAGTTGGGTCTGACCCCAAGTGTATATTATTTGATAATCTGTAACTAAGATGCTGAATTTGGTGCAAGCTTTCTGCTGGGGAAGATGGAAGTAGTCTCTGGAGTCACTCTTGTGTGAAGAACAAGGATGTGAGACAATAGATGGGATCTGTGAGGCTACATGGGTACTATTTTCCCTAGGGGTTCAGGCTGGGCTTTTTTCTGTGGCCTCTGTAGCCTGGAAGACTGCTCACTTACCTCTAAAAGTTGGATTGATCTTGCCAGGGATCTCAGAAGTAACATACACTTGAAGACACTAATACTAGGAAATAGCTTCCTGGAGACATTTGGGGAATATTACCTGTCCATGGCCTAACTGAAGAGGTTGTCATAAATCTTTTTGTTATTGTCTTGACTGCTGTTCATTTGTTTGGTGAACTGAGTGCTTCTGGGAGGAAAGCATTAATGGGGGAATTTGTGCCAACTAAGTCTAGTGACTGATATAATTATGTAGATGGATCCATGAAAAGCTGAGGAAAGATGGAGAATGTCTCCATAAAAGTATACATTTATACCCAAGACCCTGGAATGCATAGTTATAATGACCCCGATATATCTGTCATCTAGTTTATGAACTAGAAGCTCACCAGTATTATTTTATTTCCTCAATAGTTGTATTGATTCCTGCCCCATCCCTCAGAATAGCCATCCTGAATCAGGCTGATCAGGCCCCCCACATACATATTCCTAAACTGGGCACCACACAGGTTTCCACTGCTTTGAATTCCACATAAGTGGCTTCAGCTTAGTACATATTCTTTTTCTGATCAACCGACATTTTCATGCTTAGTGGCTTTGGAAGCCCATTCATCTTTCACTGCTGAATGATCACGTTTGTCTGAATATGCAACATCCCACTGGCTGCTGAGGTTTGGGCTGTTTACACACACACACACACACACACACACACACACACACACTGTGATGAACTCGGCAACTGTGGGATCTCTGGATTATGGAGAGCATCCATCTTCCATTTTATCTGTTTCCAGCATCTCTGCACCTGTTTGCAGCCCGTGTCCACTAGTTCCCAGAACTCCAATTCCTCTTTCGCTGCTGTTGACCATCCATCCATCTTCTCCTTTCTGTTTTAACCAGTCTGCTGAGAAGAAGGTGGTACCTCATTGTTTTAACCTGTATTTTCTTCATTACTATGAAAACGTTTTCATGGCCTTACTATTCACCTTGGTTTCTCTACTATGAATGCCTGCTCATGTCTTTAATGCATCTCTTTTAAGCATATATATTTTTTAAGCTTGTGAAGGGCTGTTTCTTCCAAGCCACCCCAATGCCCATTATGTATTGTTTAGTCATTGGTGGTCTGTTTCCCATCCTTCTAAATCCCTATTGCTAGTCTCCTGACCCACATCTCCTCCATTCCCCTAGCCTCACAGGAAGGCTCCTACCCTCTCCTTCAGGACTCCAAATCCCTAAGGGGTGGTAACAGAGGGGTGATGAGGCTTTCACACTGAAAAGGACAGCCCAGGTAGCCATGTCTTCTCTCAGTGTGGGACATGCACGTGAACGAAACTGTAACACATCTGTGTCTTTCTGCCCCACAGGTTGGAGAACTGTGACCTCACACTGCTTTCTTGTAAAAGTCTTATCTCTTCCCTCAAGAGAAATGAGATCCTGACCCATCTGAGCTTGGCAGAAAATGCCTTGAAGGACGAAGGGGCAAAACAGCTTTGCAGTGTCTTACAACACTCTTCATGCCCACTACAGAGGCTGGTGTGAGTCCTGGTGTGAGTCTCTAAATGTCCTCCTCTTGAGACTGCCTGGAGTAGAACAGAGTGATTGAGGACGCCATGCATGTGTGCATGAGTGTGTGCATGCATGTGTGTATATGTGTGCATGCATTGATCTCGATCATGAATTTTTAAAAAATTTTTTATGTATATTTGAGAGAGAAAGAAAGAGAACACAAGCAGGGGGGCGGCAGAGAGAGAGAGAGGAAGAGACAGAATCTGAAGCAGGCTTCAGGCTCTGAGCTGTCAGCACAGAGCCCAACTCAGGGCTCAAACTCATGAACCACGAGATCATGACAACCTGAGCTGAAGTCAAGAGGCTTAACTGACTGAACCACCCACGCACCCCATCATGAATTAAGTGATTTCCCTTAGGCATCAGGATGTATGATACTGTGATTTATAACATAAGATATATGTATTTGTTCTTAGTCCCTGTTTCTGGCACAGAGCTCCCCAAGCTCTTGGAAATACCTAAGTGGTGAGAGCCATAGAGGGATCTTTTATTACGTTAATGAGGTGACTTGTGAAAAGTACCTAAGGATTGAGGCTTATTGCCCCGAGGACCAGCCTTGTGATGAATTGGTTTAGAACTTTAAGTCCTATGCCCTGACCTCTGGGGAGGGTAGAGGGGTGGGAGATGGAATCAGTCACCCATAGCCAATGACTTAATTAACCACGCCTTTGTAATGAAGCCTCATAAAAACCCCAAAGGACGGGATTGGAGAGTTTCTCGGTGCATGAACAGATGAGAAAGCGGCACACCTGGAGAGGACATGGACGCCCCCCCCCAAGCACACACACCCATCCTTTCCCCATACCTGGCCTTACATATCACATCTCTCCCATCTGCTAACCTTTTATATTAAAATGGTATTCTAATGAGTAAATAGGCTTCCTGAATTCTGTGAGCTGCTCTAGCAAATTAATCGAATCCAAGGAGGGGGTCATGGGAACCTTTGATTTATAGCCAGCCTATCAGAAGCACAGGTAACAGCTGATTGGCAACCTGGGTTGGAGGAGGGCACTGAAACCTCCAGTTTATACCCATTTTTCAGAAGCACAGGTAATAGCCTAGGCTCATGACTGGTGTCTAGGGAGGAGATGAGGTGGGGGCGCAGTCTTGTAGTGCTGAGCCCTTAACCTGTACAATCTGACGATCTGTAGATAGTGTCAGAAATGAGTTGAGGTTTTGGACCCTACTGATGTCTAAGAATTGGTTATTAGTGTGGGGGACCACACCATACATGTTGAAATTAGTCTCAGAGCACTAACATATGGTGCTTTTGTCTATAATTAACAGAAAATAAACTCAGGTGGTCTTAAACCATAAATTTTCTAGCTCATAAAACCAGAAATGAAAAAGTGGCATAAAATACCTCCTGAACCCATTACACTTTCAGCTTCCCCAAAAGAGGCAGGAAATGGTACAACTGCTTTGGAAAATGGTCTAGCTGCTCCTCAAGGGTTACGGGTAGACCTAACACATGACTCAGGAATTCCACTCACAGGTACATACACGAGAGAAATAAAAACATATGTCCATACCAAAAATTGTACACGGATGCCCATAGTGGCATTATTTACAATAGTCAAGAAGTGGAAACAACCCCAGTGTTTATAAGCCAATGTGTGAATGAAGAAAGGGTGGTGTATCCAAATGATGGAATATTATTCACCATAAAAAAGAACAACATATTGATACATGCTACAATATGGATGAATCTTAACAATATTATTGCAAATGAAAGACGCCATATTTTTTTTGAGATCCTAATTTCAATTCCTTCATATTAATATCCAGACAGCAGTTGCTACAGTGGGAGTGGGCTGGGGGAAGAATCTGAGAATTAAAAGGGTTTTTGGGGTGCTGAGAATGTCCTAAAATTTTGGCAAACGTGAGCCTCTATAAATATACTAAAAGACATTGATTTGTACAATCTAAATGGGTGAATGATATGGCATGCTAATAATATCTTGATGTTATACCAAAAAAAGCAGGGTGGGGGGCAAGAAAGGAATAAATTCTAAGGGTGTTTGGTTGGTTTTCTTGACACATGTTTCTTCACAGGCTGAGAAACTGTAGCCTGACCTCCGAGTGCTGTCAGGACATAGCCTCTGCTCTGGATAAAAATAAAAATTTGAGAAGCCTGGATCTGGGTTTTAACAGCCTGAAGGATGATGGTGTTATCCTGCTCTTTGAGGCCCTCATGAACCCTGAGTCTGTCCTCCAGATTCTGGAGTAAGTTACCCCCGTCTCCTCCTTTGCAACCAGGACAATGGTCTGTAAAATTCTCTAAGCAGAATATGGGATCCAGGTTTTCCAGGAAGCTTGTGTGCAGTGGTTCTGAAGGTGGTTCCTCAGACTGGGAACTTCTTCATCTGGGGAGTCGTTAGAAATGCAAATTATTTCCATGTTGGTCTTTCTCTGCCTAGTTTGTTTCATTCAGCATAACTATGGCAAGGTGCTTCCCTGACCCCACAAATGACAAGATTTCCTTCTTTCTTACAGCTGAGTAATATTCCATTGTGTGTAAATACCGCATTTTCCTTATCCACTCATCAGCTAATGGGCATGCAGGCGGTTTCTGGAAGGTAGCTGTCATGAGTAATGCTGCAGGGAATGAAGGGCGGGTAACTCTTGGAGATCCTGGCTCCAGCTCCTTTGGTTGAGTACAAAGAAATGGAGCTGCTGGGTCATGTGGTGCTCTAGGGGTGGGCCAGTCTCTCTGACCAGGATGCCCTTGCATGGTACACTTGTTCTAGGAAATAGTCTTCTATTCAGTAAAAGAAAGTGTATTTATTGGCTGTGGACTGATGTCTCAGATAGCTGGTCTTCTGAAATCAACTTTTGTACTTAGGGATTATTTTTTTCACACATAATGTTTTTCTTCTTCTCCTAAATGGTCTCTGTGCTAACATGCACACTAGCCAGAGATTTGGCAAGATTCATTCTATTTTTAATGAGTGTTGTGGTTACATTAAGTATTTGGAAAAGATGTGGAAACCTCTCTTCTCTGGTGATCAATGGGTATGGGTGAGAGTGCTTTGCCTGTTTTCTGCCCACATTTTCTGTTCTCTATTAGTATAATTTAGGTTTTAAGTATAGTTCATTAAAATCTTTTTTTCATATTACAGCTCAAAATTTTTTTCTTTTTTTTATTTTAGAGAGAGAGGGAGGGAGGAGCAGAGAGGAGGAATCTTAAGAATGATCTATGCTCAGCATGGACCCTGATTTGAGGATCCATCTCACAAACCATGAGATCATGACCCAGGCCAAAATCAAGAGCCAGACGCTTAATCAACTGACCCACCCAGCCGCCCCTACGTCTCTAATTTCTTAGGATATCCTGATAATGGATTTCACTTTTGTTGATAATTAGCCAGTACAAAAGAATTCATTGTTTACTGTAGCTCATTATTCTTTTTCATTTTTTAAAGAATTTTTTATTTTAAGTAATCTCTTCACCCAACGTGGGACTCACACTCACAATCCCGAGATCAAGAGCTGCATGCTCCCCAACTGAGCCAGCCAGGCATCCCAGCTCACGATTCTTTTCCTCCAGAAATTTAATCTTGGGTTTTAAATACTGATTTATCTCTTAGGTTGAGAGAAATACATTTTCAAGAATGAAATAAATTTCCAGATGAGCATTTATGTTGTGATTTTTAAACCTTTACTTGGGTGAGACTATTTTTTCAAAAATCTACTTTCACTGATAAGCAGTAACTTGGCTGAGTATAAAATTCATGGACCTCTCCCCATCCCAAACTTTTTGCTCTAAAAATCCCCTAGATATCACTCTATGGAATTCCAGCCTTATAGAAAAGTCATCTGTATCTTTGTTTTTCCCAAGAAGAACTCAAACTTCTCTTCATTTTAAAAACTGTCCTCATATACCCGTGTGTCTTGTTTATAATTAGAATTATTTTAGGGATGCCTTATGGCTCTTGATCTCAGGGTTTTGTGTATGAACCCAATGATGGTTGTGGAGATTACTTAAAAATAAAACCTGGGGGCACCTGGATGGCTCAGTTGGTTGAGCATCTGACTTTGGCTTGGGTCATGATCTCATAGTTCATGAGTTCAATCCCTGCATCTGGCTCTGTGCTGACAGCTCAGAGCCTGGAGCCTGCTTCAGATTCTGTGTCTCCCTCTCTCTCTGTCCCTCCCTTGCTCATGCACTCGCGCCTGCACTCTCTCTCAAAAAGAAATAAACATTTTAAAAATGTTTTAATAAAAAATAAAATGTTTTTAAAAATTTAGAATGACTCTCCCTCCTCCTTCTCATTGAAAGGAAATTATTTAAGTGACTCTAATTGAGGTTAGGGAACTTTTTGGCTGGTGTGCAGAGGGAGGACCTGGTGCCTCCCTGATGGAAAGAAGGTCAGGACCTTTATAAGCTAAGGCAAAGGTGAGTGATGCCCTTGTAGTCTGGCTTGGGCAGCAGTTCCCAGCCTGTCATTTATCAGCTAGCAGCGATGCACAGGGCAGGGAGGCAAGCACTGGGAAAGACAGCGAAGAGTGCACAAGTAGGGGATGCAGGGATCCGAGGGCTCCTCTGTCATGTCTGTTTTGCATTGCTTATAATAGCCTTGCTCCTAGGGAGATTGTACACTTTGTTCAAAGATGAGAGCCAAAACAACCCCCTTCCTCTACCTTTCGCTCACCCACACACCATTTCCTCTTATATGCCTGCTCTCAATTTATGATACCCAGCACTTCTGTGACTCAGCTCCTTTTTGGACCTGCCTCCCCTTTTGCCATGAACACTGCCTGTGAGGACAAAGGGCTCTATTCTAGAACAGTGAAACCATGCTCTTTGCTTATATTTATCTGGTGACCTGCCTACCCCACCCCCACCCCCACCCCCAATCAACTATGAGTTCCAGGAAGCTAGGGATGCTGTTTTCCTCATGGTTGTGTGCCTTGGTACACAGGTGATGCTAAATAAATTTTTTTTTGAATGAACAAAGCTAATGCACAGTGACAATTTCTGAAAGAGACTGTGTGGCTCCTCATTCTTTGGAGTTAGGACTTTTATAGCTTACCCTGGACAGCCAACCTAAGCTACACAAAGAAACTAATGCACCCATAGTACACACTTAACACATGCTGGGAAGGAAATGCCTCATTCCAGGGTGTGTGATTTCTAGGGTTCGAATTGGGTGAGTTCTCAGATAGGAGGCATGGCCGCTTTGTAATTTCTAGGGTTCGGATAGGCTGAGCTCTCAGATGTGGGGTGTGACCGCTTGTCTAGTGATTTCCAGGGTTCGGATTGGCTGAGCTCTCAAATGTGGGGCGTGACCACTTCTCTACTATCCCCACAGGTTGGAAAGGTGCCTATTCACCTCTGTCTGCTGCCAGGCTATGGCCTCCATGCTCCTCCACAACCAGAGCCTAAGGTACCTGGACGTGAGCAAGAATGACATTGGGCGCAGGGGCATACTGCTCCTGCGGGAGGCTTTTCAGCAGCGCAAGTGGAAAGCAAGGGCTGTTTTGTAAGTCTCTGCTGGGTTCCCTGTGCAGAAACAGCAGCCCAAGTGAAGTTCCCCGTAAAGAGGGAGACTCTGGACCTGAAAAGCTATGGCAGATAGTGCTGATCTTCCTCTCTCATTTCCTGGGAATTTATATTTCCTGGTGCCTGATGGGAACATTCACCTGGATCCTCCTGTCGATTGTAAATTCTTTCTGTCCTTCACCTTCCCTCCTTGTCTTAACTGAGTTAATCACCACTTACCAGCCATGTGACGGAACAAGTTCCTTTACCTCTCTGAGTCTAAGTTTCTCCATCTGTGAACTGGGATGGTGGCGTCCTCCATGGAGATGTGACCCCAAAATGTTCTCAGTCAGTGGTTGATTCTGGGTGGAGGTTGAAGGGTATCTGGAGTTTTCATTATTGGTTGCTCTGTAACAAATTACCTCCAAGTTTCATCGCTTCATTCACATAACCTTTCCCAGGGTCAGAAATATGGGAGTGGTTTGACTGGATGGTTCCAGCTCATGGTCTTCGCTGATGGGGTATGATGGAGATTTAGAAGAGTGATCTCCCTGCTCACCCATCTGGCTGTTGGCAGGAAGCTTCTACTGCTCTCTGTAGGGCTGCTCATGACGATGCAGCTGGCTTCCTCCAGAATAAGTGAGAGAGAGAGACAACGCCCAAAAAAGACCCCAGTCTTTGATTACTTCAGGTTGAAAGTGCCATCCACCACTTCTGCCCTTTACTGCCGGTCACACAGACCAACCAGAGCCCAGGGAGGGAGGAGACTCCACCAGAGTGAGAATAACGGAGCAGGATCACTGGGCCATCTGAGGCTGCCGACCACACTAGTGGTTGGACAGAAGCCCTCTGCCTCCATCCCTGACTCCCCAGAGCGGTACCCCTGGCCTTGGTCTGCTGCATGGGACCAGAGTGGTCTCCAGGGTGGCGAACTTCTGTCTTAAGGTTCTGCATACTTTTCTAAGAACTCTCTCTCTCTCTCTCTCTCTCTCTCTCTCACACACACACACACACACACACACCCCAAATGTGAGACAAAAAATCCTGATTCTTGTCCTTCACAGGGAGATGAAGCAGGATTATGCAGCAGAGATGATGACGAGGCTGGAGGGCCCAGCCGTGAAGAGCGAAGTCCTGAGGATCATACAGGACTGGAGCACTGAGTGCTGGGAGGAGACAAGAAGGATGGAGTGATCTGGTGACCCTGCCATGGATATTTTTTTCCTAGAGAAAAGTTGGGAAATTCTGGCCTATTCTGTGGGCCATTCTGAGTCTGGAAAATTGTGTGGGGCATGGCCTCTAACCTCGGAGATGTTGAGGGTCATGTGTTAGACTTGGATTAGTCACTGCGTTGGTGACACCAGCCCTCTTCCACTCCTGGATTCTAGAAGTCCTTGAATTTGTCATGCTTACATTGTCTCTGGGAAGTAACTGACTTGCCTACAAGTATATCAAATTAATTTAATTAAAAATGTATACATAAATGCAACTTGAGAGCTTTTCAAGTGTTCTGTATTTATGAGTAGACTAGTATATCAATAGTTAAGAAGGAAGAAATCCCAGGGGCACCTGGGCGGCTCAGCTGGCTGAGCATTGGACTCTTGGTTTCAGCTCAGGTCATGATCTCACGGTTCCAAGTTCAAGACCCGCATCAGGCTCTGTGCTGGGTGTGGAACCTGCTTGGGATTCTTTCTATCTTTCTTCCCTCTAAAATAAAAATAAAATAAAATCTTAAAAAAATAAAAAAGAAGAAATCTGTTCCTTGTCTGGAGAAAGTGTCCAGAGGACATTTCCGAGGAAGATAATTCAGAAAGGGATGGAAAAGGAACATCACCTCGTGTTTCAGGAACTCTTTTAAAAAATGAACTTTTGGGGGGGCAGCACCTGGGTGGCTCTGTTGGTTGAGGGTCTGACTCTTGATTTTGGCTCAGGTCATGATCTCACAGTCCTGGGATCAAACCCCATGTCAGGCTCTTCATGGAGTGTGAAGCCTGCATGGGGTTCTCTCTCCCTCTCTCCCTGCTCCTCCCCAACATGTGCTTTCTCTCTCTCTCATTCTCTCAAAAATTAATAAACTTTTTAAAAACTGAACTTTTAATGAGTTTAGTCGATTTATACAAAAAAGCAAATTACAGCAAATATTTCTTGGACATGTAGCAGGCTGAACTAGATCCTTGCTCGAGGGTGGTACCCTGCATGGTCTGTCTCTCGTGCCCCACAGAACTCTGAGAAGCTATAGGAATGTGTGGATGACCTCCTCTCCAACATCACAGGAAGGGACTGTACATCACGGGGCAGACTGAACTTTTCAGGTCTAAATTATGTTGTACATGATCGAAGTAGTCAGGACAGCATTTGGAACTCAAAGATATACAAGCAACCATGCAATTTTTTTCTTTTGAAAAACTCACCTTTTTCTACGCAAAATAATGATCAGGTATCATCTGCGCTGGTTCTTGGTCTCTAGAAGGGTTTCATTATCAAAGTCAGAGAAGCTGGGATCCTCAAACCCACCTCCACCACATCCTTAAAGGGTAGAGAAAAATAAAGGTAATCAAATTTTCCATTTAAAATTTGTTTTTTTTAAAAAAAAATATTTAAATTCAATTTAGTTAACATATAGTGTAGTGTTGGTTTCAGGAGTAGAACCCACTGATTCATCTCTTACATATAACATCCAGTGTTCATTCCAACAAGTGCCCTCCTTAATGCCCATCACCCATTTAGCCCATCCCCTCACCCACCTCCCCTACAGCAATCCTCAGATTGTTCTCTGTATTTAAGAATCTCTTATAGGTTGCCTCCTTCTCTTTTTTTATCTTATTTTTCTTTCCCTTCCCCTATGTTGATCTGTTGTGTTTCTTAAATTCCACATATGAGTGAAATCATATAATACTTGTTTTTCTCCAACTGACTTGTTTTGCTTAGCATAATACCCTTGAGTTCATCCACGTTGCTACAAATGGCAAGGTTTCATTCTTTTTCGTTGCTGAGTAATATTCCACTGTATATATACATTTCATTCATCAGTTTATGGACATTTGAGCTCTTTCCATAGTTTGGCTATTGATGATAGCACTACTATAGACATTGGGGTCCATGTGCCCCTTTGAATTAGCATTTTTGTAACCTTTGGATAAACAGTAGTGCAATTGCTGGGTAATAGGGTAGTTCTATTTTTAATATTCAGGAACCTCCATACTGTTTTTCAGAGTGGCTGCACCAGTTTACATTCCCACCAGCAGTGCAAGAGGGTTCCCCTTTCTCTGCATCCTCACCAACATCTGTTGTTTCCTGAGTTGTTAATGTTAACCATTCTGACAGGTGTGAGGTGGTATCTCATTGTGGTTTTGATTTGTATTTCCCTGATGATGAGTGATGTTGAGCATCTTTTCATGTATCTGTTATCTGGTTGTCTTCTTTGGAAAAGTGTCTATTCATTTCTTTTGCCCATTTCTTCACTGGATTATTTGCTTTTGGGGTGTTGAGTTTGCTAAGTTCTTTATAGATTTTGGATACTAACCCTTTATCCAATATGTCATTTGCAAATATCATTTGCTTTGATTTGTTCTCCAGAGCCCAGAATTTAACAGGTGATCATAATGCACTAGCACTAGGATCCACAGTGAATGAGGTGCGGCTGCCTGAACTGCCTTACTTGGGGGCAACAGAAAGCCAGAGAATCCACCCACTGACAGGTTCCCCATAAGGGCCCAGGAAACCCCCTTTGCTAAAGCGGTAGGGGAATGTGCCTTGAGAAGAGCCATACCTGAAAGTGTGACGGTGTCCCCAGTCTTTGCGGCACAAGGTTTTTAGCTGGGAATCTTTAATAAAAGCACTGTTGCCTGGCTGCCAGCCCCAGACATCCAGACTTAACTGGAATAGGGTGTGGCTCGGGGCTGAGGGGTTTTAAACTTCCTCCAGGTGATTCTGACCTGGGGTGAAGTTTGGGAACTAGTAGAATAGGAGGCACCCTATAGGATTGTCAACATGGCTGCAATCACTTTCCAGTGCATCAGTGTATCAAAGCAATATATTTTATAGTTTGAGCTTACACAGTGTTGTCAGTTATATTTCAATAAAGCTAGGAGGCCAGGCAGAAGGATGGAAAAACTCCAGGAGACAACCACTAATGTGGAGACTCAAGGCACAAAGTGGCTGGTATTTCTATTGCCCAAGATGGACACTTCAGAAGGGGAGAATTTTGGAGAACGTTATTTTGATAACAAACAGGAATGCTTACTATGAGTTCACAGGGAATCCAGATAAGAGTTTTATGGAGAGGGGGGCCTGGGTGGCTCAGTCGGTTGAGCGTCCGACTTCTGCTCAGGTCATGATCTCATGGTTTGGGAATTCAAGCCCCACATCAGGCTCTGCGCTGACAGCAGAGTCTGGGATTCTCTCTCTCTCTCTCTCTCTCTCTCTCTCCCCCCCCCTTCTCTTTTCCTCTCTCTCCTCCCCATCCCTCCCTTACTCTTTCTCTCTCCCCATCCGTCCCTTTCTCTCTCTAAGTAAATAAACATTAAAAAAAGGAGTTTTATGGAGAAAGTCAATTGAACAAACAACAGCAGTGGCATTCGACATTGGTCAATAAATGTGGCTGTGTAAAATAAGAACATTGCCCTGGGACAACTAAGTGAGGGCTGAGCACAGGTGTGCTAAGGATGAGGCAGCATCTTCAATAGTGCAAGGGCAGGTGCAGAAAACAGCTGCTCCCCATCACCCTGGCTCTGGCCATGTGGAGCCCAGGCCAGCCAATGGGGAGCAACAACGTCACTGACCCAGGATTCCCCAAAGACCCTCACCGTGTGGTTGCCTTTTGGCCGGGGAGTGGACTCTGGTTTTGGAGGAAAGTTGGTGAGTATTTTCTCCCATCTTGTTCCTAGAAACTTCCTCTCTCTTTTTTTTCTCTGGCACTGGTTAGGACCTATTCCTTAAACTCTGCTCTCTGTGCCCACGCTCTCCATTTACACTAGCCAGAACCCAAGAACCAAAGATATGCTTTGAAAGAGTGAAGCATTCCATTTCCCCATTTTGATAAAAGAGCACTTTTCACGTGTGTTTGGGGTCCTCCAATACATTCTTCAATCCTTCCCAGTCTTTAGGTCTAAAATAGAGGACAGAGCTGGGGGTCCTGTGGCTCCAAACTCAAGATCACCTGATGTCTGGACCAGGTCTTCTGGAAGCTCAGGGCTGTCGCTATGTTAATTGTGTTAATTATACGTTAACCACAGCTTACAGTTATTTAAGCACAATACAATCCTGAGGGTGTTCTTTGTCACAGACAAAGGGGAAATTCAGTCACAGAGCAACTAAATGGAGCAACCAAATTCAGTCCTGGCCTGGAGTAGTAAGGACTGAATCAACATGCAAAATTGCATGTGACTGCTCTCAAGCCCTGTAATCTTAACTGCTTCTATGAGATCATTCAAGAAGCCAGTACACAAAGCTCTTGTAGGACATAGATGGTATAAAGGATAAAGACAAAGGGAAAGCTTTGGTTAGTCATTTATTTCCAGAAAATAATGTTAACCACCTCTCTTAATATACATCTTCCAACCTACAACCCTGCCCTATATGGAAATAATGTCCTTCCTCTCTTCCCAATCCCTCTGCAGCTTTACATCGGAAGGTGTCCATCTACCGCCCCCCCACACACACACCAGGCCAGCCCTTCCACCTGGGCTCCCCTCCTACTGTTAGGTTTGATTATCAGCTCCCTCCTGGGATGTATTGGAAGAGGTGGAGCATTATAATCTGATGTGTGTTAAAATGCTTTTTCCTCAAACACTCTGTAAAGTGAAGACCGTAACTCTCTTTGAATGTTAACATTACTGGTGGGAAGTTTAAATGAGTTGCCATAAATTGTCTAAGAAGGGATTTAGAAAAGAGTAAGTACTCATTTAATTGTTTTCGTTTCCTGCTTCTACTTTTACTTACTCTTCCTTCTGCGCATATAAACTTTGTTAGGCTTCCCATCCTAAAAATAACCTTCCCGAGACCATTGATTTTTTTTTTTTTTTTTTATGGCTTTTTTACAGCCACAGTTCTCCTACTTCGTTCTCTGATTGCTTTGCATGGTGAGACAAACGTTCAATTCAAATCATGTCTATATCCTTATTCAGGTGTGGCCATCTGAAATGTATTCTCCTTTAAATGGGCTCCCCATATTCACTTAGTCACTTAACCAAATAGTTGGGAGATTGGGGGGGCAGGGGGTTGCTTTACTTTGTTTTCAATCTCCACGTATCCAGGTTGTTTTATGTTGGAGGGAGGGAAACAGGAAATTTTAGTTCTAATTCTTTTAAGTTTATTTTGAGAGAGAAAGAGAAAGTGGGGGAGGGGCAGAAAGAGAGGGAGACACAGAATCTGAAGCAGACTCCACACTGTCAGCACGGAGCCCAACATGGGGCTCAAACCCACAAAGTGTGAGATCGCGAACTGAGCCAAAACCAGGAGTCAGATGCTTAACCAGCTGAGTCACCCAGGAGCCCCAATGCTGAAGCTTTGTGGGGTTTCTGGTGGGGGTTTTTTTGTTTGTTTGGCTTGGTGTTTTGTTTTTTTTTTTTTTTTAAGAGCAGAAATCTGTGGACTTTATGCAAAGGCTGATTCTTTTCAGCTTTGTGGGCCATTAGCTCCCACTCCCAAACACTCCACTTCCTTCTCCAGGCAGCTGATCAGTCCATGATAACAGTCTGAGTACCATCTCTGAACTGTTTTGAGACAATTCTCATAAACCAGACATTTGTGATCCCCTGTGTCCTATATCCTAGGAGGAAAACTTGTGCCCATGTAGAACACTTCATCTCTGAAAGCAGAGTCTTAAATACTCCAGCTTAGGAAATCTTCCATTTTGTCACAGTAGCCTGTCTCCCCAGCCCAGACCCTTCTTTCCACGTTTCCTTCCAGGTGCAGCAAAACCTTGGTTTGTGAGTTTAATTCATTCCAGAAACATGTTTGTAATCCAAAGCATTGTATATCAAAGTGAATTTCAGGAGGCATTGGCTCAGTTGTGATCATGTGACATTCAGTATCATGTACTACTCATACTGCAAGACACAGGCTGTTTATCAAGTTAAAATTTCTTAGAAACGTTTGCTCATCTCGTGGAACCCTCGCAGAACAAGCTCCTCACAATCCAAGGTTTTACTGTATTTTATAATCTTCTGTTTCTTTAGCCTGACTCTCTCATTGTAAATTGAAGCAATCTTAGCCACTCCCCCGCCCCTTAAAACCACATGTAGAGAATAGCAAGGGGAGGGGCAGAGAGAAACTACCAGAATCCAGTGTGTAAGTCCAGGGCACAGGGAGTGGGTGCCCCATCTCCCTAAGCAGCAACAGCAAAACTCCCAAGTTTGACCAAACATGCCCCTTACAGTCCGGTTGCACCTTGGTGAGATGCTTCCAGTACCAGGAAGGAGCTGGATGGGGCCTCACTGGGTATCTACAAGTTAGATGCAAGAGCACAGCAAGGTAGGAATGTCCAGCACAGCTAACCTCCACTCTAATAAGGCTCCTGAGGAGAAAAGCAAGTTGCCGTCTACTTTAGCCCTTAAAGTGTTCTTTACACAGTCCTTTTGATTGCTTTATTTTCCAGCAAAAACTAATGGCTGGGCAAGACCAGAACAGCCCCAAAATGCCCAAATGGTATTGGTTGTCCCTTTTATAGAGGCCATATAATAGTGGAAGAGGACATTTACTAGATGTAAGAATTCTTCCTGGAGCATTCCTACCAAGTAAAAAATGTCTGTCATCACAGATCGGCCTTCTGGATGACTCTGAGAAGAAATGCATGGCAGGGGTCATGGATGCACACATATAAAAAAAGCTGATGGAGGGGGGAGGGGCAAAGACTCTGTTCTCATGGCCAGTGAGGTTGAGCATCTCATAATGTGCTTATTTGCCATTCGTAGATCTTCTTTGGAGAACAATTTTCAGTAAGTAGTGGTCACTTATTTGCCAGTTTTTGTGAGTATAGCCTATTAGCTAAGAGCACCACTGATAAGTGTTTCAGGTTTTTAGTTGTTTTTAATTATTTTAATACCAGTGTAGTTAATATAAGTGTAATATTAGTTTCAGGTGATTCAACCATTCCAAATAACACAGTGCTTATCACATAAGAGTCCTTCTTAATACCCTTCACCTGTTTTCCCATCCCCCCTCCCACCTCCTCTCTGGTAGTCATCAGTGTGTTCTCTTAATATAGTTCAGAGTCTGTTTCTTGGTTTGTCTCTTCTTTTCATTTGCTCATTTTGTTTCTTAAATTCCACATATAATGGAAATCATACGGTATTTTTTTTCTCCATCTGACTTATTTCACTTAGCATAATACTCTCTAGCTCCATCTATGCTGTTGCATATCTCAAGATTTCATTCTTTTTTGTCGCTGAATAATGTCCAATATGTATATGTGTGTATATATGTGTGTGTATATATACAAAATACACACTACATCTTTATTCATTCATATATTGATGGACGTTGGGTTGCTTCCATAATTTGGCTACTGTAAGTAATGCTGCAATAAACATAAGATGCACATATCCTTTCAAACTAGTATTTTTGTATTCTTTTAAGTGTTTTGAATCTGACTCTAAGCCAGGTACTGTTTGGGGAACTAGGGATAAGAACAGCAAAACATCCCAGAGTTTGTATTTTTGTAATGAGATAAATAGATATGATGTCAAGTAATTTTAAGTCTATGAAGAATTGTTACCCATGAGTTGGGCTTTTCTATGCATTTGACAAAAGGAACAGAAAATATTGTTTCTAGTGAGTTAACTGAGGTTGGTTGTATTAACTTGAGACTTTGATGCAAGATCCTATTTTGAATCTTGTTACTCTTCTACAGGTATCATTTACTCCATACTACCTAAGAATCCACTTTTTCATCAAAACCTAAGCTCTCAGCCTTCCACTAAGATGAAAGAAGTCAAATTACCCTCATTTTCCAACTATGGACTACAGTGGTGTTTGAAGCAGCTAGGAAAGGAAGAATTTCAAACATTTAAGGAATTGCTCATGCAAGAAGCTTCAGAACTAGCAATGTGCTCTTTTCCATGGATTGAAGTGAACAATGCCAATGTGGAACAGCTAGCCTTCCTCTTGCACGAGCATTATAGAGAATCTCTTGCCTGGAAAATATATATTCACATCTTTGAAAAGATGAACCTACCCACACTCTCTGAGAAGGCAAGGAAAGAGATGAAAAGTGAGTAAGACTTGGGACAAATCTGGGGGTATGAGAGAAAGGAGATGACATCAAGCTCTCTGGGAATGGGGAAGGTATCCCTGATCTCTAATTGGGTTCACCTCCACAAGGTAAGTCTGAACTGAGAAGTCACTCAGTGGTCATGTTGCCTGACTGGAAATTAGAGTACCCTATGAAACCCTGAAAGAAGAACTGAGTAGACAGACCCTCTACATGGACAGAATTTGGTTGAAGTTAGTAGACAGGATTTAGAGTTTTAAATCCTTAGCTTGAGCCCCGGACCTTCCATTTGTTCTATCTGGATTTGGGCAAATCCCCTTTTACTCTGACCCTTGGATTCCACATATTGGAACAGCTTACATGTGCTGTTGCAAAGTTTCTATAGCACAAAGCTTCATTCATTGACTGAGAACACTATGGTGGCTGTACAGTGGGTGTCTCCCATATTTCTTGCCCCAAGATGAAGGACTAAGGCTCAAGGAACTCTAAGGATTGACCCTGTCAGACTCTTGGTGCCCATATTATAGCAATGTATTCATATCATACTGTGTGACTCTCTTCGGGTATTTAGGAGAAACCTAGTAGAAAAAAGATAAAAGCCCTCCTTTATCAGGAGCAATTCTCTTCTTCAACTGTGGACAGAACACTTAGAAAAGAGTCCTAAGGGCAAGCAGTCAGATTGGCCTTAAATGCATACATGTAACTCTCTATCTACAGCTTCAAAGGACTTTAAGAGAAACTATCCTTCAGAGCTTAAAAAAAAAAAAAACCCTGTGTGTATTTAAAAAAAAAAAAAACAAAAAACCACGCTGGTATTATTCACAGGAAATGAAGGTTATAAAACTAAAATGATAGGTGATGTTTACTGAGTCAGTACTCTAGGTGAGGCATTACATTGAAACTGCCCTGCCATGGAGTCTCAAACCCACCCAATGAAGAAGCTAAAATAGAGGTTCTACCAAGTTCTGCACCATGACCCAGTTCATGAGCTTACAGGTGACAAAGATGGGACTCATTACTGAACATAGCTTTAAATCTCTAGCACATGACCCATGAGAATTTATAGTTTCCAGTGCAGCAGAGAAGAGGAAATAAATGGGTGATTTTTTTAATGGTGTAGAAAAAGGAGAGATTTCTATTCCAGGCCAGAAGAAAGTGAAGACTAGAAACACTTCCCAGAAGAAGTGAAGTTCAGGCTGAACAAATAAGAAGAAAAGAAGCTAGTCAAGTTAATTGTGCATAGTTAGAGAAGAACATGATGAGTAGAAGACAGGAGCATCATGAAGCCTTTAACAAAGAGCTTGGCTAGACCACGAAGAACTGGAGGGAACAAGGCAAGAGATAAATATGGGGAGGTGGGACTACAAGTCAGACAATACAGAATCGTAAATAATTTTAATAGCAACGCATAAGCCATTCGTTTGAATGGGGAGGGAGTAAAAACAATCCAACCGGCATTTCAACATTGTTGCTGAAGTGTTGTGTAGTCCAGAAGGAATAAATGAATAGGTGTGGGGAGACCAGTTAGGAAACCATTCTGGCATCCCATGGGAGAAATGAAGGTGTCTTGGGCCAGGGTGGCAGTGGCCATTAGAGAAAGTAGAAATTCAGTCGAAGATGTTTCAAAAGCCGTCAAAACAGTTGTGTGGGACTAACTGCAGAGAGAGAATGTTATCAGGGATGACACCTGTGTTTCTGGCATGAGATTGGGTGGATGGGGTTCCATTACCTCATCTCAAGAAGCATTGGAAGAGCTGCTTTGCAGCAAGGAGACTGGAGAAGTAAACAGTGTTAGAATGCATGAATTGGGCACCTCTCTTTGGATAATTCACAGGTCTCTAGTGAGTAGTTGACTACTTTGAAGTTCACGAGGGGTGTTGAGGTTGACTCTTGAAGATAAATTCTTTTATTTATTTCTGAGAGAGACAGCGTGAGCAGGGGAGGGACAGAGAGAGAGGGAGACACAGAATCTGAAACAGGCTCCAGGCTCTGAGCTGGCAGTCGGCACAGAGCCTGACATGGGGCTTGAACCCACGAACCGCGAGATCATGACCTGAGGCAAAGTAGGACGCTCAACCAACTGAGCCACCCAGGCGCCCCTCTTGAAGATAAATTCTTGATGGCCACAATAAACTGCCTCATTAAGTTAATCACCCAAGGCCTTAGAGCAAAACTGGGACTGGAATTTACAAATTCAAAATCAGAGCTGTCTTTACAATGTCTCTGCTGCTTTGCTTTGCTGGTGCCACTTGAGGATCTGACTCCATTGTCTCCATTACCATCTTTTCATGGAATAAACTGAGATCCTGAGGCTTGTCTTCATTCCCCTCGGTATTTAGGCAGGGGACAATCTCATCCCTAGTCTCAGAAGCTGCTATGACTTTATCGAGACAGTTGTTTCATCTACTCTCGTTTGCAGGATATTCACTGGCTGAAATACCAGAAAATTCTACATCAGTGAAGAATGACCAAGAACTGAGCATGAGAGAAGTACCAGGTCGGTATGGGCATGGTGGGGAAATGGGGATGTCTAAAGCCACATGGTGATGAGTTAGCGGCCCATCTGGGACTCGAACCATGACTCCTGATAGTCCAGTGTTGTTTCTAGTTTGGCATGCTGTTGTCAGGTGACTGTAAGGGTTCTGAAGATCTGGTAACCATAGTCTTTCTTATTCTGAGTCCAAAGAGCTCTGTGATCTTAAAGCTTTCTTACAACTCTTTGAGTTCTCATCTTCAGTTTGGACAACTCCATGATCCTTCCAGGACAAGTTCTACCTAACAATCTGTTTTGAAAGCTTCGGTGAGGAGAACCAGATCACATGAAACTAGGTTCAATACAATTCCCCAAATATTTGAGTACCGAAGACCTGCCAGGCACTGCTCTGTGTACTTGTGATACATCCATGGACAAAGTACATGCAAATTCCCGGCATTCATCAAGCTTACACTTCAGTGGAGGAAAAAAGAGACCAACAAAAGGGCTCAAAGCAATGAAGCAAAAACATACACGGAAAGATGTAGGCTTGTATAGACAGCACGCCTTCCCCACTGTTACCCACACTACCACTTACATATTTCTAGTCTTCTAGCAATCAACATTGACCATGAAGTTTAACGCCTCAAAAGAATTGGGACCAACCTCCCGCTGATGCAGCTGTGTTCAGGCTGTGGGCAGGAAAATCCCCTTCAAAACTAAAGTCTGAGGGACTGATGAGTCAGAGTTTCAGAATCCCAGAGGCTATAAATTATTCCAAGTTTAATGTAAATCTAGGCTTAACAGGGTAAGTCCCAAATATTACTATCTTTCCAGCGACAAAATCCTATCTTATTGGGTTTAAAGATTACTAAGCAGTGATTTAGCGATGATATGAAATACAGACACTGACTAATCTTGGCAGTAGGATCAAAATGGACAAAAGCTGGGGTCTTAGAAGCCGCACTGGGAAACACCTCTAAGTTACCATTGTACACAAGAGCTACCACTTGAGACCTTATGGGTCAAGCATGGTGCAAAGTGCTTCAATCTCCTAGATCCCTATCTTGTGTGGTAGTGGCTGTGATTCCAGTTGTCTGGTAACAAAACTGAAGACCCAGAGGCTAAATGGTATACTCAAACCCTACAAGTGTAGACATTCTAACACTACGCTATCTCCATGCCATGTAAGTTTTGGTATGTTGTTTCATTTTCACGTTGTGTCTCATGGGCTAACATGTGGCATGTCTTCGAGAAAGTTATATGCACGCTTCAGAAGACCGTGTATTCTGCTGTTTATTGATGTTCTTGGTTTTCTATATATCTGCCTCTTCTGTTTGGATTTCAGTAAACAAGACTGCTACCCATTTGCTTATTCATTCCAAAAGCCTTGTCGTTTTTTAGTCTTTTCTCTCTCCACCTTCCATCCATGAATTAAAATCCTACGAGATCTACATTTAAAGTATAACCCATTTCTGTTTTTCTACCTACATCCTGTATATGAGAATCATTTATTTTTAATTTCTTACCCATTTCCACTCTGGTTATGCAATCCATTTTCCATACAATAATAACCAAGGTGATCTTTTAGAAATGTACATCTGAAAACTTGACTCTGCTGCTTTAAAATGCTTAAGTGATTTTCTGTTAAATTTATTCCATCATTTTTTTTTAAATTTGCAAGGCTAACACACACCCTTTGACTATTCCTTAAATACCATAAGGTCATTCCCACATCACCTATGTTAAGTATGTACTTAGCCACAATAGGAAACTATTTTTTAATAAGTAGATATAATGGTTATTCTCAATAAGTGGTAGCTATTATGCACCAGAGACTATGCTATTTCTCTACCAAAACACCTGATTTAATTTTCAGAGCAACTCTACAACATAGGAACTATTATTCTAGTTCTACAGATGAACCCACAGAAGCATGTAAACCCAGAAAGTTGACTAAGACTTCACAAGCAGGAAGTGACAGAATTTCCATTTAAATCCTGTGTCTGACTCCAGACCCTTGGTTCTCAACCACCAGATTTTTATCCCCTATTTTAATGACTTGCTCGAAGGTCTCCAAAGAATTAAAAGCAGAAATGAGACCAGAACCTCACATCTTCTGATTCTGAATCAAGTGCTTATTTTACATACACTTACCATCTCTAGCTGAGCCTGTGGCTGCCATGTTCCAAACTGGTCCTGAGATGTGGGTCTGTGCCCTCTCGGATTCAAATATTCACATAAGAATGGGGGAGTTTATTCTTCCTTCTCTTTTGCAGAGATTTCACAAGCCATAGAACCAGACGGTGTCACAGCAGCAGAGCTGAAAGAACAAGGTAAAGAAATATGATTCACTAATCGTTTTTGACCATCCTAGAATGGAGCCAGGTGAAAATCAATCTATGGAGTTTGGGTGGCAGAGGAATCTACTTTCCCGTTGCTCATCTGTATTTGTCTCTGGTGCATCAGTCTCCTGCCCAAGACATCCTAGAATGAATCATCACCAAGGATATCCCATAGGTTCACTGAGATCATCTATAGTCACTTTGCATGAGGATAAATTCCAAAGACCTGGGATTCTGGTGAACTTGGACATTAAGCACAAGCTCATTTGACAGGCACTAAATATAGACCAGAGTAATCAAGTGCTTTGTTTAAAAGTACATGGTTGGTACTTTTTCCCCAATTCCTTCTGTCAACCTTTATTTTGTGAATACCTTCCATTTGAAGAATTGATAGGAGCATAGGGGTTGGTTAGATGGATAGATGGATATAGCCATATAGACTTACATGTTAACTAAACCAAACAAAATGCAAAATGAGGATGAGATCTCAGGTGCCATGATGATATGAAACAGCAGTTGACCAGTCAAGGAAGTGACAGCAGGTTTCTCTGAGGAATGTTACTTGAGACTTTTCTTTCTTTTTCTTTTTTTTAAGTTTATTTTGAGAGAGAGAAATCATGGGAGGGGCAGAGAGAAGAGGGAGAGAATCCCAAGCAGGCTCCTCACTGCTAGCACAGAACCTGATGTGGGGCTCGATCTCACAAACCCGGAGATCATGACCTGAGCCGAAATCAAGAATCAGTCTCCCAACAAACTGAGCCATCCAGGCGCTGTACTTGAGACTCTGTACTGAGCTATAATTCATGTACCAAAAAGCTCACCCTTTTAAAGTGTACAATTCAGTGGTTTTTGCATACCCACAAAGTTGTGCAAATATCACCATTATCTTATTCCAGAGCCTTTTCCTCTTCCCAAAAGAAACCCAAACCCATTATCACTCTATATCTCTTCTTCCTCAAGTCCTATGCAACCACTAATATACTTTCTGCCTCTATGAACTGGCCTGTTCTGGACTTTGATATAAATGGTATCCCACAAGTGTGGTCTTTCATGACTGGCCCCTCTCATTTAGCATGTTTGCTATATTTATCCATGTTGTAGTGCAAACCAGAACTTGGCTCATTTCTACCACTGAATAATATCCTGTTTTGTAGGTAGGCCACCTTTTCTTTATTCGTTCATCAGACCATGGACATTTGGGTTCTCTCCACTTCTTAGCAATTGTGAATAAAGCCACCATGAATATTCATATACAAGGAAGTGCTGATGGACAGAGTAATTTGACATCTGAGGTATTTAATAAAAGTTGACGTTTGGGATTTCATAAAAAAAAGGTGTCAGGAGTAGCTGCTGCCTTTCTGTTTAGACAGCCTGATGGATGGTGATGCCCGGAATCAGTGATTTATTTGACTTTCAAGCTGGGCTTTTTATTCTACCTCTGTAATATAATCTATGTTAGCCTTAATATTTCACTGCACAAATGCTTGAAGACCCAGTAGTTGCCAATGTTGTCCATTTTCAGTTGGGATGACTGGTAATAGATACCAATATTGATGACCTCTCTAGAATAGTTGCCATAGGTCAGGTGCTGTTTTCCAGGTCATATGATTATGTCATAGCATCCTACACCAGTCTCATAAGGGAGATTTTAATATCCCCATTTTGTAGATGACCAAACCACCATACGGGTGAGATGGGGCTAAAATTAGGTTTATGGAGAAAGCATTCAGGCAAATATCTGTTCCAAAGTAAGTTCATAAATAGAAGCTTTTGTCTAATTGCCACTTATAGGAAAGTTAGGAGTTTCTTGTTGGAGGTAAAACCTGAGTTTTTGATGCACTGAATCTGAGGTCCCTGTGACTCTTTAAAGTGGTAAGTTTGACACAGGATCCTAGAATCTTGGGGAAGAAGTCAGCCACACAGAGGGAGACTTGGAACTCTTGGTCACAGATGTGATCCTTGAGTCCAGGAGAGAAGAGGTGGCCAGGGAAGACCCAAATTCAACTGCAGACTGACCTTCCTGGGGCTTCCTTCCCTCTTTGAAAACCTACAGCTCAGGAGCACAGTCTGTCCTTTGAGGATAACGCATCAGTCTGAGCTCAGCAAATAGAGATTGTTCAGACCTCAAGGTCTGCTTCCTGTAGTTTTTAAAAATTTAGGGGCACCTGGGTGGCTCAGTCGGTTAAGTGTCTGACTTCAGCTCAGGTCATGATCGAACGGTTTGTGGGTTCGAGCCCCATGTTGGGCTCTGTGCTGACAGCTCAGAGCCTGGAGCCTGCTTCAGATTCTGTGTCTCCCTCTCTCTCTCTCTGACCCTCCCCTGCTCACACTGTCTGTCTGTCTGTCTCTCTCAGAAATAAATTTAAAAACATTAAAAATTTTTTAAAAATTTTAATGTTTATATATTTTTGAAGGAGAGACAGCATGAGCAGGGGAGGGGCAAAGAGAGGGAGACACAGAATCCAAAGGAGGCTCCAGGCTCCAAGCTCTGAGCTGTCAGAACAGAGCCCAACACGGGGCTTGAACTCATGAGCCATGAGATCATGACCTGAGCCAAAGTCAGATGCTTAACCGACTGAGTCATCCAGGCGCCCCTGCTTCCTGTAGTTTTAATACAGGTGTCTTAATACCGTTCCCTGATACAGAATAATGGAGCTTAAGTTTTAGAACTTCTATATAAAGATTTTATGTAGACATAGTAATTGCCTTATACACTTGTACAGAGAGAATCTTGTCATCTTTTTAAAAAATATAATAGTATTACCAGCAAATGTAAGGACCCAGGATTAGAGGAGGTGGGTTTTTTTTCCCCCATGTTATTGAGTACCTGTCCGATGTCATAGGCTATTGAAGAGGCTGGAGGTATGCAGATAAAGTGCTTTCAATGAAACTTCCGTCACAAGCTTGGGACTAGGCAATAACCAGATGCACAAAAGAACTGCCATTTATGACAAGTGCTAGAATAGTTTGTAATGACAGTAGTGGCCACTGATCATTTTTGCCAGGCCCTGTGCTAATAACTTTTGAAGGCACATTCTGTCTTAAATATTTAGTGCAATGCTTCAAGGGGATCTTAATCTCGTCTCAGAGGTGGGGAAACTTGGGCTCAGAAACTGACCCCATGCAAGACAGCCTGGAATTTCAAGCAGGACCTGTCTGACCTCAAGGGCCATGTTTGCCTCCCCATGGCAGAGCGGGATTCCCCATTGCGTGGAGGTGTTTCTCCACCCCAGCCTGGAGCTATGGGAGATTCACGCCCGTCCTGCCAGCTCAGAATTCAGGGCCACGGCACACACATCCTCAGCTCCCCTATGCTTCTCTGCCTCTCAGAGACTACACAGGAGTGTTTGGCATAGATTATTCATTTAACAAATACTTGAGTGTCTGCAGGGTGCCAGGCATCATTCTAAATAATAAAGATACAACAGTAAATAACAAAGTCCCTGAACAGAGTCTACTGAGGGAAGACAAACAAGAAGCAAACAAAAACGTAATGTGTCAGGTATTAAATACTGAAAAAAAAAAGATGGGGCTAAAGGGACAAATAAAGCTATTTTTTTAATAGTTTATTGTCAAGTTGGTTTCCATTAACACCCAGTGCTCATCCCCACAAGTGCCCTCCTCCATGCCCATCACCCCCCTTCCCCTCCCCTTAACACCCATCAGTCCTCAGTTCTCAGCATTCAAGAGTCTCATGGTTTGCCTCTCTCCCCCTCCCCCACCATTTCCCCCCTTCTTCTCCCCCACAGTCCTCTGTTAAGTTCCTCCTAATCCTCCTGTACGTGCAAACATACGGTATCTGTCCTTCTCTGCCTGACTTACTTCGCTCAGCATAACACCCTCGAGTTCCATCCATGTTGCTACCCATGGCCAGATTTCATTCTTTCTCATTGCCGTGTAGGAGTCCATGTATAGATAAACCACATCTTCTTGATCCATTCGTCAGGTGATGGACACTTAGGCTCTTTCCATGTTTTGGCTATTGTTGAGAGTGCTGCTATGAACATTGGGGTCCATGTGCGCCTATGCATCAGCACTCCTGTATCCTTGGGTAAATTCCTAGCAGTGCTATTGCTGGGTCCTAGGGGAGTTCTGGAAAACAATGTGGAGGTTCCTCAAAAAATAGAGTTATTCTTTGTAGGATGTTCATGAGCTCTAAGGAATTGATCTTTGAATGAAGGAGGGAGGTTGTTATCAGCCACTGCTAGGGAGAAAGAAAAGTACCATATACACATACGGGGTCTAACCTAGGATCCACTGATCTGGGCCCGGGGTTTAGGGGACATGTTCTGTTCTGCTTTTTCCTGAAATCCAGACTTCCTTCTAACTTTGTTTCCTGTCTTTTCCTTCTCCCTTCCCCTGTCCAACTCGGGCTGTGGAGGTAATGCAGGGGACTACAAGATTCACGTGATGACAACTTTTGCTACGAAGTCGGATGCACACTGTGGTGTTGACAACTTTGCCTTTGACTGTGCAGAAATGCAAATATTGTTTGGCGCTTTTAATCCAGACCAGAGGGGCTTCCGGCCTCACACTGTGGTTCTGCACGGAAAATCGGGAATCGGGAAATCAGCTTTGGCCAGAAAGGTCCTGCTGTCCTGGGCGCGAGGTGAACTCTACCAGGAAATGTTCTCCTACGTCTTCTTCCTCCGTGCCAGAGAAATGCCATGGATGAGGGAGGGCAGTTTTGCAGAGCTAATTTCCAGGGAGTGGCCAGACTCTCAGGCTTCAGTGACAGAGATCATGTCCCAACCAGAACGGCTGCTGTTTATTGTTGATGGCTTCGATGACCTGGACTTTGTCTTCAAAGATGGTGACTTGGGTCTCTGTGAAGACTGGGGGGACAAACAACCCACGTCTGTTCTGATGCACAGTCTGCTGAAGAAAGCCCTGCTCCCTGAGGCCTCCCTGATGATCACTGTCAGAGACACGGGCATAGAAAAGCTCAAATCCATGGTCCCGTCCCCCCGTTACCTGTTAGTCAGGGGCATCTCTGTGGAGAAAAGGATGCAGTTGCTTCTTAAGCACACGAAGAATGAGCATCGGAAGACAAAAGTCTTGAATTCAGTGGTAGACAACTACCCGCTTTTTAACGAGTGCCAGGTCCCCATCTTGGGGTGGCTCATCTGCGAGGCTCTGAATCTGCACGAGGCGTCGGGAAAGCGCCTTCCCTCTTCCTGCCAGACCCTCACGGGCTTGTATGCCACCTTTGTGTTCCACCAGCTCACCCCACAAGACCCATCCCAGTGCTGCCTCAGCCAGGAAGAGAGAGGCACCTTGAAGAGCCTGTGCCACATGGCTGTGCAGGGAGTATGGAACATGAAGTTTGTGTTTTATGGAGATGACCTGGGTGTTCACAGACTCAGGGAGTCCGAGCTCTCTGCTCTGTTTCACATGAGCATCCTTCTCCGAGACAGCGGCCCTGAAAGCTGCTACACGTTCCTGCACCCCAGCCTCCAGGAGTTCTGTGCTGCCCTGTACTACATTCTAGAAGGACTAGAAACGGAGTGGGATCCGTACCCTGTGTTCTTGGAGAACGTAAGGAGCTTGGTGGAGCTCAGACAAATCAGCTCCAATGCCCACTTGCTCCAGATGAAGCGTTTCTTGTTTGGTCTCATGAGCAAAGAGGTGACGGGGGCCCTGGAAGTCCTGCTGGGATGTCCCATCCCCCTGGTGGTGAGGCAGGGGCTTCTGGGCTGGATCTCCCTGCTGGGTCAGCAGCCCAGCACCCCCTCCCCTCTAGACTTCCTGGACTCCTTCCACTGTCTTTTTGAGACTCAAGATGAAGACTTTGTTTGCTTGGCATTGAACAGCTTCCAAGAAGTGTGGCTTCCAATGAACCGGCGAATGGACTTGCTGGTGTCTGCTTTCTGCCTCCAGCGGTGCCAGTATTTGCGGAAAATTCGGATGGATGTCCAGGAGGGCTTCTCAAAGGATGAGTTCACTGAGGCCCAGCCCCTGAGTCCCCAAGAGTGAGTCCTTCACCTCTGCCATTTTGTTCTTTTTTTATATTCATGTTTATTATTGATTTCTGAGAGAGAGGGAGAGAGAGAGTAAGCATGCAGGGGAGGGGCAGAGAGAGAAGGCAACACAGAATCTGAAGCAGGCTCCAGGCTCTGAGCTGTCAGCACAGAGCCCGATGCGGGGCTTGAACTCATGAGCCACGAGACCATGACATGAGCCAAAGTCAGAGACTTACCCAACTGAACCATCCAGGTACCCCATTCTTTTTCTTTCTTTTTTTTAATGGGGGTACAATTTAATTCTTTTTTATGGAAATATAATTGACAAGTAAAAACTGTACATAATGGTACCTGGGTGGCTCAGTCAGTTAAGCATCTGATTCTTGATTTTGGCTCAGGTCATGATCTCATGGTCATGGGATCAAGCCCCATGTTGGGCTTCAAGCTGGACATGGAGTCTACTTGGGATTCTCCCTCTCTCTGACCCTCCCCTGCTCATTCTTCTCTCTCTCTCTCTCTCTCTCTCTTTCTCTCTCAAAATGTTTAATTGTACATATTTAAGATGTACAATGGGGTGTTTTGATATACATAAAATAATCACCACAATTAAGCTAATTAGCATACCCATTACATAATTACTGTTCTCTTTTGTGTGTGTGTGTGTGTGTGGTGATAATACTTAAGAACTATCCTTCTAGCAAATTTCCAGTAAAGGGTACAGTGTTGCTAACTACAGTCACACTGCTATACATTAGATACTGATCTGGTGGAACTAGACCCTTTGACCAACAACTCCCATTTTCCCCTCCTGGAGACATGGGAAACTACCACCATCTGCTCTCCTTCCATGGGTTCAACTACTTTAGATTCCACATGAAATCATGCATATCTTTCTGTTACTGGCTTATGTCACTTCGCATAATGCCCTCTATGTTCATTTGTGCTGTTGCAAATGGCAGGATTTCCTTTTTAAAATTTTTTAAATGTTTATTTTTGAGAGAGACAGAGTGCAAGCTGGGGAGGGGGAGAGAGAGAAGGAGACAAAGAATCTGAGCTGTCAGCACAGAGCCTGGTGTGGGATGTGAACTGATGAACTGTGAGATCATGATCTGAGCCGTCAGATGCTTAACGGACTGAGACACCCAGGTGCCCCTGGATTTCCTTTTTTTTTTTTTTAAAGCTGAGTAATATTCCCTGGTGTGTGTGTGTGTGTGTGTGTGTGCGCGCGTGTGTGTCGCATTTTCTTAATCTATTCACCAATCTACAGACACTTAGGCTGTTTGCATATCTTGACTACTGTGAAGACAGCGCAAATATCATCTCTTCAGGGTACTGATTTTAATTCCTTTGTATAAGTGGGATTCCTGGAGCAACAGGTAGTTCTATTTTTAACTTTGTGAGGAACACCCATGTGAAATGCGCCCTTTCACACCCAGGGGGAGCTAGAATCTAAGGGCACATCTGACTATAGAGCTGGTGGCTCCATGCCACCTGCGCACACCCCCCTGGGGTGTCAGAATGTTCAGGAAGCAGGGTGGGTAGGAGAGGCTTCACGGAAAACACAAGGTGATGTCACTACATTGGCCTCAAACCTCAGAAGCCATCCCTGTCTTACCGTGATGGACTGGTCTCCCTCCTCTGACCCGACGGGGGCACTTGCTCATGCTAAACTCCATCCTGTGGAAGCAAATGTTGTTTCCTTCTCCAACATAGGGTGCCAGTGAAGACCCTTGCTGATGAGTGGTGGGGAGATCTCTGCGTCGTGCTCAGTACCCACCCAAGCCTGCGGCAGCTCGACCTGAGTGGTAGCGTCCTGAATGAACCAGCCATGAAGACCCTCTGCACCACGCTGAGGCAGCCAGCCTGTAGAATACAGAATCTGATGTAAGTGTTCCTGCCCCTTGGCATGCCTATGTCACTGCTCTCCTCTCCCACTTATGAGAAAAGACCAATCTGAGAATGTAATCAGAGTGGATAAGCGCTGTGGAAGTTACCAGAACCACATTCCCAAGAGCACACAGGGGGAGTAACTAAAGACCCTGTGAGGCAGATTCATTCAGTCTGGGTACTGAGGGACGAACAGGAGTTGTTACCAGGGGCAGAGGTGACGGGAGCTCATTTCAGGCAAACGGGTAGAACAAGATCAGAGGCTTTGAATCAGTTCTTAATGCTTTTATGTTCATTAACAAGGTAGCAAATCTTTGGACAGCCAGTAAGTTCCTGGGTCTGTGGGAGAGGCCAGGGTACTCACCAAGCACCTGGAGTAGGAGACGACATGCTAGTTCTACTTCAGACAGAGTTCTATTCCAGACTCTTCCCTCCAAGAGTCTAAGCAAAGCACATGTAACCCCCAGACTAGAGCAAGTCAACTTCTCCATGCAAACATTCTCCCCTTCTTGCCTCTTCTGTCTCCTCCCTGAGGAGTTTCCTTAAGCTGGGCTGTGCCAGGGAGCCTGGCAATGCCGGAATATTGACAGAGCCCTGGTCACCTCCGTCCTACACCACGCTCCTCTGCTGGCTTTATCTTGGTGCTTCCCCTGTGCACCCCTTCCCGCTAGGAGCCCCTGCTCTCAGCTCCTGCTGTGAGGTTCTGCAGTCCCTCCCTGTAAGCACTGAGTCTGTAATTCAGCAGGAGTCCATCAAAATGGTAATGAGATCCAGGCATTACAAGGGTTTTAGGTAAATCCTTTGCACCTCTCCAGGTTCCTATTTCTCTAATTAACTACTTTCACATCTCCTGAACTTTCCATGCAATTATATGTATACATTGGAAAATTACTTTTTTTAAAAAAAAATCCAAACAGTATCCCATTATACTCCTTTTTGTGACATTTGACTTTTCTGTTCAGTTTGAACTTGATCATATCTGTTTGCAGGGTTTTTTTTTTTTAAGATTTTATTTTTAAATGCTCTCTACACCCAGTGTAGAGAATGTGAACTCACAACACCAAGATGAAGAGTCACATGCTCCAGCTACCCAGCCAGTTAGGTACCCCTGTAACTCTGTTCTTCATGGACTGTACTGAATTTCATCCTTCAGCATAGCTGTCTTATTCAGCTCTTCGCCAACTGTCCCCCCACGAGATTAAGCTCCATGAGAACATGGAATATCAGCATCATTTAATACTGTGTCCAGTGCCTGCTGTATCATAGATGTTCAAGTAGTTGTTGCTTTAAAACTGAATAAATTAGGGGCACCTGGTTGGCTCAGTCAATGGACCGTATGACTCTTAATCTCAGGGTCTTGGGTTTAAGACCCACATTAGGTGGAGAGATAACTTAAAATTTTTTTTTAATTTTAAAATCTGGGGCACCTGGGTGGTTCAGTCAGTTAAGTGTCCAACTTTGGCTCAGGTCATGATCTCGCAGTTAGTGAGTTTGAGCCCCGCACTGAGCCCTGTGCTGACAGCTGGGAGCCTGGAGCCTGCTTCAGAATCTGTGTCTTCCTCTCTCTCTCTGCCCCTTTCTGCTTGCTTGCTCGCTCTCTCGCTCTCTCTCTCTAAAAAATAAACATTTAAAAAATCAAATTAAGCAAGTAGTGAGAGATAAGAGAGTTGTAATACGAGAAGATGAAAAGGGAAATTTGAGATATAACTGTCACCTATGTCTAATGCACTATTTTCTTTTCTACTCTTTGGCAGATTTAAAGGTGCACAGGTTACGCTTGGCCTTCATCATCTCTGGACGACTCTCATTACCAACCGTAATATTAAATACCTGAGCTTGGAAAACACCCACCTGAAAGATGAAGATCTAATGATGGCGTGCAAAGCATTAAGACACCCAAACTGTTTGCTGGAGTCTTTGAGGTAAGTTCTGGGGATGGCTTTTGGTTTTCCTAGTTTGGTTTTGCCATTGTTGTATTTCCTTTTTATTTTTTTTTAATGTTTTATTTATTTATTTTAAGAGAGACAGAGACAGCATGAACAGGGGTGGGGCAGAGAGAGAGAGAAATAGAGACAGAATCCCAAGCAGGCTCCACACCATCAGCACAGAGCCAGACGTGGGGCCAGTCTCATGAAACATGAGATCATGACCTAAACCAAAGCCAGGAGTCAGACGATGAACCAACTGAGCAACCAGATGCCGCTGCTTTTTATTTTTAAATCCTTGGTCACAGGAAGTTGCAAAATATCAGGCAGATGGCAAAATCTGGAGGTGGGTGTTGGAAATGGCTGTACAGCAGCAAATATGCACTCAACGCCACACACTGTACTCTTACAAACTTTGTGAGGCATACTTCACCACAACAAAAAGCTAACTTTCAATGTTTCATGAAGATAACGAAATCTGGGGCAGCTGGGTGGCTCAGTCGGCTGAGTGTTCGACTTCAGCGCAAGTCATTGTCCTGTGCTTAGTGAGGTCAAACTCTGAATCGGGCTCTGCTGACAGTGCGGAGCCTGCTTGGATTCTTTCTCTCCTTCTCTCTCTGTCCCTACCCTGCTTGTGTACTGTGTCTTTCTCTCTCAAAATAAATAAATAAACTTTTAAAAAAAATTTTTTAATTAGATGAGCGGAACCCTTTAGGCAATTTCTCTGAATGTTGTATCTTCCATAACTAGTAGTACAATGTCAACCCCAGGATGCTGACACTGACCAGTGTGTGTATGTCCTTCCGTGTCAATTTGTCAAACGTGCAGATCTGTAAAACCACACTGTACCCAAGGTCCAGAAATACCATGAACCCCGTTACCTTTTCCAGCCATGCCATCCATAATCCCTGGCAATAACTGATGTTTTCCATCTCTACAATTCCGCCCTCTGAGCAATGCAAGTGGAGACATTCAGTATATCACTGCCCTGTGACTGGATTTTTTCAGTCAGCAAATGCTTTCTGACCCATCATCATGCTGGTCTGTGTATCAACAGCAGGTTCCTTTTTAGGGCTGAGTACTTAGTATTCAGTACCACAGGATAAAACAGTTAGTGTAACCATTCAACCATCCAAGGATGTTTTGGTCATTTCCAGTTTGGTGGCTGGTCCCAGTCTCGTGAATCCTGGGTGTGTGTGTCATCACATTAACTTGCTGGAAAGACACCACTCCTGGATGCGTGTGCGGCTGAGAAGAACCACGAGCTCGGTTTTGAGCTTTGTTCACTGACACAGAGCAACTGCAGAAGGCTAATTGGCTCTGTAACTGGCGAGCTGCCATCCCAAGCCAGGCCCCTACCCTCGTGGCCTTGGTGGTTCTAGAGAGGAAGATGAACAATAAGCAAGTACACGCACCCAGTCCTAACAAAGAAGGAAGTCCTTGCCATTTGCATCTACATGGATGGACCCTGAGGGCGTTGTGCAGAGTTGAGTCAGGAAAGACCAATATTCTGTGATCTCACTTACATGTGGAATCTGAAGAAAGCTCAGCTCATAAAAACAGAGTAAAGTAGTAGTTATCAGGCACTGGGGGAGTAGGGGAAAATAGAAATATGTTGTGTGAGGGCACAAAGTTGTAACTAGTACATAAATAGGTCCTATAGACCTAGCGCACAGTGTAATCATTATAGACAAGATTGTATACAAACCTCAAACCTGCTAAGATACTAGATCTTAATCATTCCCACCCCCCACAAAGAAATAATTATGTGACCTGATAGAGGTGCTCACTAATGCTACAATGGCAATCCTACTGCAGTATAGAAATATTTCAAATCAGGGGCGCCTGGGTGGCTTAGTCGGTTAAGCGTCCGACTTTCACTTAGGTCATGATCTCGCGGTTCGTGGGTTCGAGCCCCGCGTCGGGCTCTGTGCTGACTGCCAGCTCAGAGCCTGGAGCCTGTTTCAGTCTGTGACTCCCTCTCTCTCTGACCCTCCCCTGCTCACGCTGTCTCTCTCTCTCTCCTAAAAATAAATTAAAAAAAAAAAAATTTCAAATCAGGGACACCTAGGTGGCTCAGTTGGTTAAGCGTCCAACTTTGGCTCAGGTCATGATCTCACAGTTCATGGGTTCGAGCCCTGTGTTGGGCTCTGTGCTGACAGTTCAGAGCCTGGATCCTGCTTCGGATTCTGTGTCTCCCTCTCTCTCTCACCCTCCCCTGCTCATGCTCTCTCTCTCTCAAAAATAAATTAAAAAAACATTTAAAAAATTAAAATTAGAGGTATTTCAAATCAGCATGTTTATACCTTAAACTTATACAATATTATATGTTAGATCTATTTCAACTGTTTTTAAGGGCAAATATATGAAACATGGGCTGGCGATCATTGCTATGTGTAAAACAGTGCTGGAGAGATGGGAGCCGGGTGGGGTGAGGCAGGCACAGGTAAGTAAGGCTGGGAGACTGGTTTACTTGGAAGAGGTGACATTCAAGAGACCTGAATGGAAAAACTGGATGACATAAAGATGTGGGGTTGGAAATGGAGGGATGTTGCAAACAGAAGAAAGAGCAAATGCTCAGACCCTGAGCCTAGAGCAAACAGTGTCCAAAAATCAGCAAAATGGCCAGAGTGTCTGGCATGCAGGGAGACAGGTTGCTCTGGGGGGAGAGCCGAGACTGTGCTTCATGCTGCCTATCTCCGCAGGCTGGATCACTGTGGACTCACCCCTACCTGTTGCATGGTGATCTCCCAAATCCTTGTTACGTCCATCAGCCTAAAATCTCTCAGCCTGGCAGGAAATAAGGTGACAAGCCAGGGTGTAAAGCCCCTCTGCGACGCCCTGATTGCCTCCCAGTGCACCCTGCAGAAGCTGATGTGAGTTGAACTACTTTTCACCACGGCCATTTCCTCTCAACTGAGATGGTCCAAGCTGTGGGGAAGGAAATTAGCTGACACATAATCCAAGGGTTACAACGGTAGTCGTGACCCCATGGAAGTGCCCCGATGTTGAGTATTTTAAAAAGACCCAGTAAACCAGTAAATAACATCTGTGTCTTCGCCACTAATGCAAAAGTTTAGGGGAGAAGCCAAGCTCCCAGAACCAGTGAGTGTAACAATGGCTGCTGGGGGCTGCTGGCTAGGGAGAAATGGGGAGAGGTTGGTTAAAGACAAATAGAGCGTTTAGCTTATAGTTAGCAATGCTGTGTTATACACCTGAAAGTTTCAGCAACGCCAAAATCCTGGAGACTCTTAGGCTTGTGGTTGGAGCCGCCATCGACAGTGTCTTTGAGCATCAGGCTCTATGCCAGATGTTCTATTCTCATTGATGCCATATTCACAAACACCCTGCCAGGGAGGAATTAGTTTCATCCCATTTGCTGATAAGGAAAATAGAATCCAAAAGAAGGGAAATCTCTTGTTTAAGGTCACCTAGGGAATAAAAGGCAAAGCCAAAACATGAGCTCCAGTTTGACACTCAAGGGTCTAATCTATGACTTAGAAGTTTCCCCCTTGATGACTTACAGTCTGGGCAAAGTTGTCTCCCCCACCACTCCCAAAGCATGCTGTGGCAATAACATCCCTCTTTCATGGGGAGTTTGGTTGCTAAAGTCATAGCAAAAATTGAAAACTAAATGGCACAAATGACTTTAAAGTCCTGAGTGCTGGTAGGTTGGGGGGGGGGGGTGTGTGCATGGGAAGAATCACATGAGAAGCAAATATATCTTCTCTCCCTTAGTCTGTAGGGGAGGGGAAAAAACTTTCCATCTATCCTCTTGGGTGCTGTATCTGAGGCCTGAAAATTAAATTGATGTTGACAGGGAGAGAGTACCAACAAGTTTCATTGGTACTTTTTTTTTTTTTAATATGCGTGGGGGCTTCACAGAAAAGATGTGAGGAACCCAAAGGAGTGGATAGACTTGAGCTTGTATATCATTTTAACAAAGTATGATAAATTGTGGAGGGGGAACTAGGTAAAAGGGGTTTGGGGCTTCTAGGGACTGATATATTGTGGGTAGGTGACTATGGAGTATATGGCGGGACCTAATGGTAGATAAAGTTTATATGATGAATCGCCTCAGTGTCATGTCCATCTTTGGTGACAAGAGTCATTCTCTTGTATCAAAGAGGAGGGACACATGCACAAGGGAAATTCATGCCCTGTTTTTAGGCAGGTGGGGGGGGAGCAGAGAGCTCTTCCTGTGTCTGCTTTTTCCCAGTTGCTCTCAGCTCAAGATCCTCCTTAGGCCAAAGTGGCATATTTCAGGCTTACATATCCTGACCCCCTTCTACTCCAACCCCCACAGCATTTCCTCATCAAAATAAATCACTATCAGTAATACGGAGTTAGCACTTGCTTTATGCACTGCTCTGAGCACCTTAGATGTGTTAACTCCTCTAACTTTGTCACAACCCCATGCCAGAAGTACTATGAAACTCCTAATTGCACGTGCTATGGCTTATCAAGCTTTGAGAGACCGATGGGAGGGAAGGTCCCCTTCTAAATGGGAAGGTCACTAATCTCAGCAACACCTCACACCTTAGTACATGTGAGGAGCAAAAACAACTGGACAGAGAGCAGGATGGCATCTCCCGGGTGTTGCCCCTTGTGGCTGATGCCTGGTCTAGTCACCCACGTCATTTAGGTGACGTTGAGTTCACAAGTTACACGCAGATACGGTGTGACATCGCAGTACAGCTGCAGGGACACATCAGGCACAAGTGACATGGGGGGGGGGATGTTAAGAACAGACCTCAACATTTCCTTCCTGGGGGGCTCCCTCCTTGCAGACTGGGGAACTGCGGCCTCACCGCTGCCGACTGCCAGGACCTGGCCTCAGGCCTCACCGGCAACCAGAGTCTGACCCACCTGTGCCTGTCCAGCAACAGCCTGGGGAGTGAAGGCGTGAATCTGTTGTGTCGAGCCATGAAATCCCCCAACTGTGGGCTACAGAGGCTGATGTGAGTCCCACGGCCTCCCCTGGGAGGGCTGCACTGTTTCATTGCAAACAGCATGTACCACTCGCCCAACTCAAAGCAGTGGGGAGCAGTGTTAGGATGAAGGAAGCCGATGAGGGCTGCAGCCTGTCGCACCCCCACCCCGATTTCCTCCTTCTGTGGAACATTCCATCTCTGCCTCTGTTTTCTCTCAGTGGGAAGTCATCATTCATCCACATACAGGCGAGTGTCCTTATTGTTAGCACGGTTACATTCTGTGAAGTCACCATACCCACCGAATCATTGCTCGTACGGGAACACGCGGTCAGGTCCTGCGAGCCTCTGGTCACATTTCCTCAGCCAGTCAGTGCCTACCCTTGCACTGTGTTTCTGTTTAAAGACCAGAATGTATGTGAAGCATTTTCCCCACTCCTACAGCACAGCCTTCTGTGTGTGGAACAGTGGGCTGCACTTCAACAGTAGACATTGGCACTGCATTTTAAACAAAATGACCAATAAAAGCCACAAAAACATGAAAAACATGGCACTCAGTGTACCATGAAAAGGATACTTTGCTTACGATGAATCTGAGGCTGTGATCAGCCTCGGCTGGGGGCGTGGGCCCTGGGCGGCTCAAATCTGTCTCTGCTCGCACCTGCATGCATGTCCGTGAAGGACCGTGAGCACCATGCGTGTGGACTGTCAGCGCAGCATGTACATTTCAGCAAGGGGACACAGCTGCAAACACAGAACCCGTGAGTAATGAGGATCGACCACATTCATGAAGCACCTGCCGTGGGCAAACACTCCTAGTTGCTAGAGACACGGAGATGGTAGATGTGTTCTCTAAGTTTACAGAGCTTAGGTTCTGGTAGCGAGATTTTCAGATGATGGGAGTCACAGAGGCAACATTCCACAGCTCCAGGGAGGGCCACGCACACAGTTAGGAGATGCTGTGTACTCAAGCTGGGTTACAAGACGATGTCTCAGTAACTGCTTTAAAAACTGCCGCCCCGTGTGGCCAGATTACTCTTCTGGCTATATCTTTGGTCTGGTTGTGAGATGGAAAGATTTTTGTTACACTTCTTCCATACTGTCACTTCGCCTCGCTGGGGTCACTCTACCTTCTGCCCTTTCATCCCATTGACCAATAACTCTGTAAAAGCAAAAAATTGATCTAGGCTGATGATGTACCTGTAGCCATAAATTCTATTTAAAAAAAATAAGACTTTGATGTACATGTCTATCTTACAGTGAGTTCTCACAAGTGATGGGGGATATTGAGCCTGGCAGACAGAATAGTGCCCCTCCCCCCAGATGTCCATGTCCTAGCCAATATAAATATGTAAACTCACATGGCAAAAGGGACTTTGCAGGTGCGACTGAGTTAAGGATCTCAAGATGGGGAATTATCTAGGATTCTCTGTGTAGCTATAATGTCGTCAAAGGAATTTTTATAAGAGAGAAGACATGTGGTAACAGAGGTCAGAGGATACAATTGGTAGCTGAAGACTGGGAGTTAAGAATATGAGAAGCCTGTAGATGCTACAAAAGGCAATGAACAAAGGTTATGCCCTGGAGCCTCTGGAAGGCACAGCTCTGTGGACACCTTGATTCTCGCTCCAGTAAAACTCTGAACTCCAGAACTGCAATATCATAAACGTATGTTTCAAGCCACTAAGTTTGTGCTGATTTGTTAGGGCAGCAATAGGAAACTAACACACTGAGTGTGAAGGAAAATTAAAAACAGAGGATCTTGAACAGCATTCGACACATGTGTTATGCCAAGCATCGAGCCAGGAACTTCTTGATAATCCTATTACCCAATCTGAATCCTTCTTTTTCTTTTTCCTTCAAATTTCTATTTAAATTGTAGTCACTTAACATATAGTGTAAAATTATTTTCAGGAGTAGAACTTGGTGATTCGTCACTAATACACAACACTCAGTGCTCATCTCAAGTTCCCTCCTTAATCACCATTACCCATCTAGCCCATCTCCCCACCCAACACTCCTCCATCAACTCTCAGTTTTTCTGTATTGTTAAAGTCTCTTAGGGTTTATTTCCCCTTTTCCCCCCTTCCCATATGCTTCTCTGTTTTGTTTCCTAAATTTCACACGAGTGAGATCATATGGTATTTGTCTTTCTTTGACCGACTTATTTCACTTAGCATAATACACTCTAGTTACATCCACGTTGTTGCAAATGGCAACAGTTCATCCTTTTCATGGCTGAGTAATATTCCATTATATAAATATACCACATCTTATTTATCCATTCATCAGTCAGTGGACATTTGAGCTCTTTCTGTAGTCTATTGTTTTTTTTTTAAATTTTTTTTTTTATGTTTTATTTATTTCTAGGAGAGAGAGAGAGACAGTGTGAGCAGGGGAGGGTCAGAGAGAAAGGGAGTGACAGACTGAAACAGGCTCCAGGCTCAGAGCTGGCAGTCAGCACAGAGCCCGACGCAGGGCTCGAACCCACGAACCGCGAGATCATGACCTAAGCGAAAGTCGGACGCTTAACCGACTAAGCCACCCAGGAGCCCCTAGTCTGTCTATTGTTGACAGAGCTGCTATAAACACTGGGGTATATGTGCCCCTTTGAATCTATATTTTTGTTAAGTTTGAGTAAATACCTAGAGGTACAGTTGCTAGGTTGTAAGGTAGTTCTATTTTTAACTTTTCAAGGAACCTCCATACTATTTTCCAGAGCAAGCCAAAATCTTAAGTAACTCCTTATATATCCTCCTCCCAAAGCAGGAAGAAACTGGGGCCAACAGAAGTTGCTCTGCCAAGGTTACACCACACCCTGAGTATGACTTTCCTCTCTCCCTTGCGTGTGCCCTGCAGACTAAAAGAATGTAACCTGGATGTGGCTGGATGTGGCTTTCTTGCATTTGCACTTATGGGCAACAGACATCTGACACACCTGAGCCTTAGCATGAATCCCTTGGAAGATGATGGGATGAACCTTCTGTGTGAGGTCATGATGGAGCCATCTTGTCACCTCCAGGACCTGGAGTAAGTTTCAAAGGCTGCTGGGGGTCAACTCTACCATACTGGGGCCTGGGGTGCCTAGAGAGTTAAGAGGTGGGAGCAGGAAGACTGGTACCAAAACCAGTTCTAGGGTCAACTGAGGCTCATGTTTTCCAGGGGACACTACAGTGAGTGTGGGAAGGACAGAGAGAGGAGTCCAAACAGAAGTCCTAAGACAGGATTTCTGCCATTTGGGTCACCCTTGATTTCTAAAACCTGTCTACTTCTCAGAGCACCTCCTATTGTCCTAAGTTACTCTTCTGTTCATTCTGTCTGTAGGGTGAAGACGGAGGGGCTGTCTATATTTCTCAAGACCTTTTCCCTCTGGGACTCACATTCCTTTATATTTTATTGGAATACTTCTATTTAAGAGTATCCCATCCTTAAACAGACTATAGGAAAGTTAAAAAATGTCAATGAGAGGAAATAAATCTCCAATCTCACAACCAAGAAGTAAACGCTGTTACTACTTGGGCAAATTCCTCCAAATGCCTAAATGGCCTTTAGTGTTACAAAGAAAGGATTCCAGCAGTTACCACTGGAGGCTTTCTTGCCATGTGGTGGGCACAGGGCTGTATGTATTTTACATGTGAAGTCTCCTGTAGCTCCCCTACCAGTCATTCCCGGGGGAAACCAGAACTCCCAAGGAGCCAAAATCTTGCCTTTGGTCTCCCATTCTGTCCCCCAAGGATCTACAGACCATAATAGTAACTATTCCATTTAATGATGCATGATAACTTTTAAAATCCCCTAAAGCCAGACACTGAGCATATGTCCGATATGGACATACGTCGTATTTACTTTGTAAATATTTGCATACTTGGTAGTATCTTCTCATCAATTAGAAAAGTAGAATTAGTGAACCAAAAAGTAAGACCATTGTAAGACCTCTTCCTCCCCAATAATAAATAAAAGAACTGGATAGAGATCATGGCCCACAAATGAGAGTGCCCCCTCCAAGTATAAATGTTTGTTGTCATGAAAGCCCTACTTTTGCATGGAGTAGAAACTAAAGCTTAGTCAATTGGAGATGCCATTTCTTTGGGATTACATTTAAGTGCTGGGGGATTATATGGTCCTCACCTCATCATTTATCCATGCTGGGATCCAAGACCTGGATTCCCACATGATGGGCAGGTGTGAGTCCTAACAACCGCGTTCTTGCTCATTCTTGGTGTGAATACCTCATGAAGATGGACTCTCTCATCCCTGATGGGATCGTTCACTTTAAGATGAAGATAGGAAACAGTGAAGATGTTCCCATGATTTCTACTCAGATGAGTCATCCGGTCTTTACTGCAGGGGAGTATCTACTCCCTCCTTCACCGTTCATACTGGGAACAGAAGCAGAGACCCCTCTCCTTTCAAACCCCAAGCCCATCTCGCATTTCAGTACCTTCTGTCCTCTGTCATCTTTTCTCACCCACTCAGGGCTCTGTCTTTCATCAGGGACTCTACCAACTTCTCTCTTGTGGGTTTCTTTCCCCGTCTTTCTTCCCGTCCACCAGGGAGAATCCTTATCACATCTCCAGGTGGGAAGCAAGCTCTGATGTGCTCATCTTTTTTCCAAAGATACCTCCAGCCACATCACATACTTTCCCCACCTGACCCCATCATCCCTCCTCACATGAGCCACTGGAAGTTGCACATTCTATGCCATTCTAAGGAATGAACAAAAAGGCTACCAGTTAGGAAGGAGTAAAAGAAATGTCCCACCTTTGTTTCTGGGCATCATCTCCTTGAAGCACTCTCTCCTCAAATGACACGGGCTCTTCTCCTCTTGCAGACTGGTTAAGTGTCACCTCACTGCTGCCTGCTGCAAGAATCTGTCCCATGTGATCTCAAGGAGCAAACACCTGAAGAGCCTGGATCTTGCCGCCAATGCCCTGGGTGATCATGGCATCATAGCACTGTGCGAGGGACTGAAGCACAGGAAGGCTTCTCTGAGGAGGCTTGGGTGAGCTCCTGGGGTCACCAGGTTGAGGGCTGGGTGAAGAGAAACGGGGACCTGAGTGTGAAGTTGCTTGAACAAAGACGGTGTTCTGACTTTGATTCCATTTGAATCTGCTTTGTTCTTCCTGGTGCTTAAGAAATGACATCACCCCTTCAAATCAGCATAAATCCCTTTCATAGGGAACCCCAAGACTTTCCACCATGAAATCAACTAATATTTGTACCCATATTCCCTTCTTTCTGCAACAGTAAAGGAGGAATCCCTACCTCTATCAGAGGTTAACTTCACTCACATTGGGAATTCCATAATCAGCTATGAAATGCCTTATACTATCACTGAATTACCTGCCCTTGTCTCTTTCCACAGCCTCCCTAGTAGAGATTTTGTTTTCATAAATGCTTAGATATTATTTTATGAAGCAAAACCAATAATAAGCCTTATTCAATCCCACCTCACCATCTAACTCTAGGCAGCTAAAACTATTTGAGCTCCATGCCACAGACTTTTTACTCTATCACAAGAAATTCCCAAATATACAAAACCTAAAATGACTGAGACATTGAAAACCTGTAGGCTTACCACCCAGTTTAAACAATCATCAGTATTTTGCTCTAGCGAGTTATAGGGTTTGAGTTATAAATACCTCAAAACTCATCTCCAACATGTGAGAACACGGCTACCATACCATATCTACATCTAACAATGTTATTTGCCTCTCCATTGCTCTTAGGACAAAATCCTAAACCCTTAATATGACCTAAAATTTCCAGCCTCCTCTCACACCACTGCTTCTGGCTCCCCTCTGGCCATCTGGTTGACTTTCCATATCTCAGACATGCCCCACCCCTTCCTTCCACAAGAGCCATATAACATCCTAAGCTCCAGCTGCTGCTTCCTGGCCTTATTCACCGGGCTTACTTCTTGTCTCTTAAGTTTCACATGAAATGTCGATTTCTCAGCAAGTCTTTCTCCATGTGCCTTGTTTTGTTCCCTGCTTACAGGTGCTCTCAACCTTTATCTTTCATTCTTTCCACAACTGCAGTTAAGTCATCCAGTGGCTCTTACCATGAGAACCAGCAGCAGTGACCACATCAGTGCCTGGGAACTCACTGGAAATGCAAACATTGGGGCAGGGTGGGAACCCTGAGTGGCTCAGTCGGTTGAGCATCTGACTCTTGATTTTGGCTCAGGTCATGATCCCAGGGTGGTGGGATTGAGCCCCACTTTGGGCTCCACACTAAGCATGGAGCCTGCGTGAGATTTTCTCTCTCTCTCTCTCTCTCTCTCTCTCTGCCCCTTCCCCATGCTCTCTCTCTCTAAAATAAAAAACTAAGCAAATGTTTGGGTTTTTCCCCAGAGTTTCTGCTGAACCAGAAACTTCTGTGGGTAGAGCCCACCACTCAGGCTTACACAGTGACTTGATAGTCAGATGGGCTGAAGGACTAGTCACTGATCTTGGAGGCATTTCTTGGCATGTCGACTCTACAGGTTGGAGGCATGTGGACTGACTTCAGACTGTTGTGAGGCACTGGCCTCGGCTCTCCTCTGCAGCCAACGCCTGACCAGCCTAAACCTGATGCGGAACAATTTCGGTGCCACAGGAATGATGAAGCTATGTCCAGCCTTTGCACAACCCACATCTAACCTACAAATAATTGGGTAAGTCCCTGGCATTGTCTCCTGAGGTAAAAACCTCCTTGTACTACAGGCATGCTGGTTGGTGTAGAAACACTTTATCCCAGAAGTTGAGATTGTGGCTCAGCAACCACATCGTTATTATGTGCCCACCGTGTTCCAGGCACTGTGCTGGAGATACAGGGACACAGGCATAGAGGCAAGGTGCCTGATTTCACAGGGCTTGCTTTTGGATGGGCTTAGGAAGAGTGGAGGGACATCATACAAATAAGATGTTTGTCCCTAAAAAACTAAATATAGAATTGGTATATGATCCAACAATCCTACTTCTGGGTACATATACAAAAGAACTGAAACCAGGATGTGGAAGAATTACTTGTACACTCATGTTGATAGCAGCATTATTCACAACAGTCAAAAGGTAGAAGCAACCCAGGCATTCGTTGACAGGTGAATGAGTAAATGGACTGTGGTACTTCCACACAATGGAGTATCATTCAGCACTAAAACGAAAGGAAATTCCGACACACATTACAACATGGATGAACCTTAAGGACACTTTGCTAAGTGAAATAAGTCAGATGCAAAAAAGACAAATCCTGCATGATTCTACTTAAGTGAGGTCCCTAGAGGAGTCAAATCCATAGAGACAAAGTAGGTGGTGCTGCCAGAGGCTGGGGGAGATGGATGGGAAGTTGGTGTTTCATGGGCACAAGGCTTCATTTGGGGAAGATGAAAAGTTATGAGGACAGATGTGGGGATGGCTGCACAAGTGTGAGCGTACTTAACGCCACTGAACTGCACACTGAAACACAGTGAAGATGGACAACTGTAGAGGTTGGGTGTCCTGTATTTATATCAATAGGAAACTGCCCGACTGAGAGCGTGTCTTGTCCTTAGGGCCCAGCCTACAGCGGTGGGGGTTATGCAGGGGTCGGGCGTCGGCATACAGTGTAACCAGGAAGGACGCAAGGGTGGTTGCCGTGTAGGATCTGAGGGGGAAGATGGACTGGGAGGCATGACTTAGTGTATTTGGAGATGTTCATGTGGCCAAGGAGAACTGTTACAGTGATCTCTTCAGCAAATGAGCAGAAAAGGCAGAAGATTGGGTCAAAAGACAGCATATTTGTATTGGTCACTCAAGAAGCAGCGTAGCCTTCAAGGGACCAAGATGGCAGAACAGCATGGAAGGTGTTTGTTTTTTTTTATTTTTTTGCACCTTTCATCCCTGAAATACAGCCAGATCAACACTAAACCATCCTGCACAGCTAGAAAACTGAGGAGACAATTAACACAACAATCTACACAACTTGAACACTGAGAGGTGAACTGGGGGAGAAAGCGCCGGAGAGCAGGGAGTTGCTTTTGCTTGTGGGGACGGGACAGAGACGTGGGGAGAGTACGGAAAGCGCGCGCGCACACACACACACACGCACACACACACACACACAAAAGCAGCTGGAGAGAAGAGAGTACGCAAGCGACTGGACTCAAAAGGAGAACGGGGAGGGTTTAAGCTCCGTCAAGACTGTAATCAGGGCGAAGGCAGAGTCCGAACCTCCACAGCCGCGTACCTGGCGCTGTGCCGGCGGGAAAGGCGGGTCCCCAGGGGCCGAGCGCGACGTCCTCGGGGTCCTCGGGCCACCCGGGGAGGGGCCCCTGCTGGGAGGACTCCCCACAGGCAGGGGCCCCCGCGGACCGGGAGCACCACTCCCGCTGGGCCGGAACGAGGCGGGTAGGGGGAGGCCGGCGCCGCGCGCGCTGCGAGCGCCCAGGACCCCGGCAGCCGCGGCCGCGCGACCGGCGAGCTCTTCCCGGGGCGCCCGCCCCCGCGCCGTGTCCCGGGCGTTCCTGGGCCGGGACGACACCCGACGCCGCCCGGCGGGACCCTCCCGTGAGGACGTGCCCGGCCCACCCCGCGGTCCCTCAGAGGCGAGGGCTCGGGAAGCCCCGCCGCGTCTGAGGTAACGCTCAGGAGGGAGGAGCCGCCCGGCAGCCTGACGCCTTGGTCCCGGACGGAGTCAGAGCCGGCGGGGACGGCAGCGGAGACCAAGGACGGGAGGCCGGTGGGGCGCGCACGGAGTTCTCACGCTGGAGACGGCAGCCCGGGGGACGCCATCGTCACCGCTCCCGCGCATGCGCGCTCACCTCCCGACGCGGCATCGCCCCACCCCAGTCAGCTAAGCAGCGCCATCTAGTGGAGGGCGGCGCCGCGACACTAAGCCCCGCCCACCAGGGCCAGCCTCGCTCTTCAGGAACAAGTCTCCGCCTGCTTAGTTTACAGACTGTAAAGTGACATAGTTTGACTTCTAGGGGGAACGATGTCATTTCAACCGTACTTCAGTCTGTTCGCTGGTCCATCCATTCAATATTCTTATTCTTGAAAACAGAACAAATTTACTTTTATTTTCCATTTCCAAAAAATGTTTATCTTTAATTCTTTCTACTATATTTTCTTCTACTTTGTAAATTTTTCAAATTCGCTTTTTTACTTCCATCATTTCATTTTATTCTATTTCGTTGTATTCATTTTTTCATTTTCCTTTTTTTCTTACTTTTCCCTTTTTTCTCTAATCTATCAAGCTCTGTTCAACCATGAGACCAGAACACACCTACGATCTAGCATCCTTTATTTGATTTTTTTGGTGATTTTTTAATTTTTTAATTTTATTTTTTTTACCTTATTAATTCCTTCTCTTCCTTTAAAATAATGAAATGAAGGAATTCATCCCAAAATAAACAACAGAAATGGCAGCGAGGGACTTAACACAGATACAAGCAAATATCTGAGCCAGAATTTGGAATCATGATAATAAGAATACTAGCTGAGGTTGAAAACAGATTAGAATCCCTTTCTGCGGAGATAAAAGCTAGTCAGGATGAAATAAAAAATGCTTTAACTGAGCTGCAATCTCAAATAGATGCCACAGCGGCAAGGATGGATGAGGCAGAGCAGAGAATCGCAAAGAGAGGGGATGAACTTATGGAGAACAATGAAGCAGAAAAAAAAGAGGGAGACTAAGGCAAAAGAGCATGATTTAAGAATTTACGGTATCAGTGACTCATTAAAAAGGACCAACATCAGAATCATAGGGGTCTCAGAAGATGAAGAGAGAGAGAAAGAGATAGAAGGGTCATGTGAGCAAATCATAGCAGAAAAGTTTCCTAACCTGGGGAAAGACACAGACATCAAAATCCAAGACACACAGAGGACTCCTACAAGATTCAACAAAAACCAGCCACCAACAAGGCATATCATAGTCAAATTCACAAAATACTCAGGCAAGGAAAGAATCATGAAGAAAGAAAGACAAGGAAGAAAAAGTCATTAACCCACAAGGGAAGACAGACCAGTTTCACAACAGACCTATCCACAGAAACTTGGCAGGCCAGAAAGGAGTGGCAGAATGTATTCAATGTGCTGAATCAGAAAAATATGCAGCCAAGAATTCTTTATCCAGCAAAGCTGTCATTCAAAATAGAAGGAGAGGGAAAAAATTTCCCAGATGAACAAGAATTCAAGGAGTTCATGACCACTAAACCAGCCTCACAAGAAATTTTAAGGGGCACTCTCTAAGGGGAGAAATGATGGGGGGAGGGGGGACCAAAAGCAACAAAGACTAGAAATGACCATAGAACACCACCAGAAACTCCAACTCTACAGGCAACATAATGGCAATAAATTCATATCTTTTAGTACTCACTCTTAAAGTCAGTGGACTAAATGCTCCAGTCAAAAGATAGAGGGTTAACAGAATGGATAAGAATACAAGATCCATCTATATGCTGTTTACAAGAGACCCACTCTAGACCTAAAGACACCTCCAGATTGAAAGTAAGGGGATGGAAAACCATCTATCATGCTAATGGCCACCAAAAGAAAGCCAGAGTAGTCATACTTATATCAGACAATCTAGACTTTAAAATAAAGATGGTAACAAGAGATGAAGAAGGGCATTATATGATAATCAAGGGATCTATCCACCAAGAAGACATAACAAATGTAAACATTTATGCTCCAAATGTGGGAGAACCCAAATATATAAATCAATCACAAACATAAACTCAGTGATGATAATACCATAATAGTAGGGGACTTCAACACCCCACTTACAGCAATGGACAGATCACCTAAACAGATAATCAACCAGGAAACAATGGCTTTGAATGACACATTGGACCAGATGGACTTAACATATATATTCAGAACATTTCATTCTAAAGCAACAGAATACACATTCTTCTCCAGTGCACATGGAACGTTCTCCAGAATAGACCACATACTGGGACACAAATCAGCCCTCAACAGGTACAAAAAGATCGATATCATACCGTGCATAATTTCATATCACAATGCTATGAAACTCGAAATCAACCACAAGAAAACTGTGGAAAGACCACGAATACTTGGAGATTAAAGAACATCTTACTTGGGGCACCTGGGTGGCTTAGTCGGTTAAGCATCCGACTTTCGCTTAGGTCATGATCTCGCGGTTCGTGGGTTCGGGCCCTGCGTCGGGCTCTGTGCTGACTGCCAGCTCAGAGCCTGGAGCCTGTTTTGGTCTGTGACTCCCTCTCTCTCTGACCCTCCCCTGCTCATGCTCTCTCTCCCCTAGAAATAAATTAAAACAAAAAACAAAAAACAAAAAAACATCTTACTAAAGAACAAATGGGCTAACCAAGAAGTTAAGGAGGAAATTGAAAAGTACACAGAAGCCAATGAAAATGACAACACCACAGCCCAAAAACTCTGGGACACAACAAAGGGGGTCATAAGAGAAGTATACAGCAATCCAGGCGTTCCTAAAGAAGGAAGAAAGGTCTCATATACACAACCTAACCAGCACCTTAAAGAGCTGGAAAAAAGAACAGCAAATAAAACCTCAAACCAGCAGAAGACAGGAAATAATAAAGACTAGAGCAGAAATCAATGCTATCAAAACCAAAATCTAAAACAAACAAAACAACAAAACAGAGCAATGAAAAACAGAAGCTGGTTTTTTGAAAGAATTAACAAAATTGATAACCGCCTTGTCAGACTCACCAAAAAAAAAAAAGACTGAAATAAATAAAGTCAAGAATGAAAGAGGAGAGATCACAACCAACACAGCAGAAATACAAACAATAACAAGGAATATTAGAAATTATATGCCAATAAAATGGGCAATCTGGAAGAAATGGACAAATTCCTAGAAACATATAAACTACCAAAACTGAAACAGGAAGAAATAGAAAATTTGAAAAAACCCATAACCAGTAAGGAAATGGAATTGGTAATAAAAAAAAAAAATCTCCCAAAAAACAAGAGTCCAGGGCCAGATGCCTTTCCAGGGGAATTCTACCAAACATTTAAGGAAGAGTTAACACCTATTCTCTTGAAGCTGCTCCAAAAAATAGAAATGGAAGGAAAACTTCCAAACTCTTTTTATGAAGCCAGAATTACCTTGATTCCAAAACCAGCAAAGACCTCACTAAAAAGGAGAACTATAGACCAATTTCTCTGATGAACAAGGATGCAAAAATTCTCAACGAGACTCTAGCCAACTGGGTCCAACAATACATTAAAAGAATTATTCACCATGACCAAGTGGGATTTGAACTAGGGCTGGTTCAATATCTGCAAAACAATCAGTGTGATTCATTGCATCAATAAAAGAAAGGACAAGAACCACATGATCCTCTCAATAGATGCAGAGAAAGCATCTGACAAAATACAGCATCCTTTCTTGATTAAAAAAAAAAAAAAACCCTCAAGAAAGTAGGGATAGAAGGATCATACCTCAAGATCACAAAAGCCATATATGAAAGACACACTGCTAATATCATCCTCAATGGGGAAAAACAGAAGTTTCCCCCTCAGGTCAGGAAAAACACAGGGATGTCCACTCTCCCCACTGTTACTCAACATAGTATTGGAAATCTCAGCCTCAGCCTCAACAGTCAGACAACACAAAGAAATAAAAGACATCCGAATTGGCCAGGAGGAGGTCAAACTTTCACTCTTTGCAGATGACATTGTTATTCTATATGGAAAGCTCGAACGATTCCACCAAAAAACTGCTAAAACTGATCCATGAATTCAGCAAAGTCGCAGGATATAAAATCAATGCACAGAAATAGGTTGCATTTTTATACACCAATAATGAAGCAACAGAAAGAGAAGTCAAGGAATCGGTCCCATTTACAATTGCACCAAAAACCATAAAACACCTAGAAATAAACCTAACCAAAGAGGTGAAAAATCTATACACTGAAAACTATAGAAAGCTGATGAAAGAAATTGAAGAAGACACACACACACACACAAAGGAAAAATATTGCATGCTCCTGGATGGGAAGGACAAATATTTTTTAAAATGTCAATATTACCCAAAGCACGCTACATAGTCAATGCAACCCCTATCAAAATAACACCAGCATTCTTCACAGAGCTAGAACAAACAATCCCAAAATGTGTATGGAACCAGAAAAGACCCCAAATAACCAAAGCAATCTTGACAAAACCAAAGCTGGAGTCATCACAATCCCGGACTTCAAGCTGTATTACAAAGGTGTAATCATCAAGACAGTATGGTACTGGCACAAAAATAGGCACTCAGATCAATGGAACAGAATATAGAACCCAGAAATGGACCCACAAATGTATGGCCCACTCATCTTTGACAAAGCAGGAAAGAATATCCAATGGAATAAAGACAGTTTCTTAAGCAAATGGTGCTGGGAAAAGTGGACAGCAACATGCATAAAAATGAACCTGGACCACTTTCTTTCGCCATACACAAACATAAACTTAAAATGGACAAAAGACCTAAACATAAGACAGGAAGCCATCAAAATCCTAGAGGAGAAAGCAGGCAAAAATCTCTTTGACCTTGGCCTCAGCAACTTCTTACTCAACATGTCTCTGGAGGCAAGGGAAACCAAAGCAAAAATGAACTATTGGGACCTCATCAAAATAAGAAGCTTCTGCACAGCAAGGGAAACAATCAGCAAAACTAAAAGGCCATTGACAGAATGGGAGAAGATATTTGCAAACAACATATCAGACAAATGACTAGTATCCAAAATCTATAGAGAACTTCCCAAACTCAACACCCAAGAAAACAAATAATCCAATGAAGAAATGGGCAAAAGACATGAATAGACACTGCCCCAAAGAAGACATCCAGATGGCCAACCGACACATGAAAAAATGCTCAACATCATTCATCATCAGCGAAATACAAATCAAAACCACGATGAGATACCACCTCACACCTGTCAGAATGGCCAACATTAATAACGCAGGCAACAACAGATGATGGTGAGGATGCAGAGAAGGAGGATCTCTTTTGCACTGCTGGTGGGAATGCAAAGTGGTGAAGCCACTCTGGAAAACAGTATTGAGGTTCCTCAAAAAATTAAAAGTAGAACTACCCTATGACTGAGCAATTGCACTACTAGGCATTTATCCAGGGGATAGAGGTATGCTGTTTTGAAGGGACACATGCACCCCAATGTTTATAGCAACACTATGAACAATAGCCAAAGTATGAAAAGAGCCCAAATGTCCATCAATGGATGAATAAAGAAGATGTGGTATATATTTATATACAATGGAGCATTACTCGGCAATCAAAAAAATGAAATCTTGGCATTTGCAGATTGTGAATGGAACTAGAGGAGATATTATGCTAAGAGAAACTAGAGAAAGACAAATACCATATGACTTCACTCATATGAGGACTTTAAGATACAAAACAGATGAACATAATGGAAGGGAAGCAAAAATAATACGAAAACAGGGAGGGGAACAAAACACAAGAGACTCTTATGTATAGAGAACAGAGGTTTGCTGGAGGGGTTGTAGGAGGGGGGACGGGCTAAATGGGTAAAGGGCATTAAGGAATCTACTCTTGTAATCATTGTTGAACCATGTGCTAACTAACTTGTATGTAAATTTTTAAAAATAAATTCTAGAAAGTAAAAACAAACTTAAAAAAAAAAAAAGTAGTGTAGCCTTGGACAAGCACAGCTTGTGACCCTGGGGCTTAGCATAGAAGAGCCAGACCTAGATTTTACTAATGGACCTTTCAAGAACCTATTTCCCTATCTGCAAAATGGGGAAGATGCTTTGTATCTATTTGAACACCTATCTCTCTCTCCTGTCCTAGAATTTATAAGCTTCACAAGGGTAGGGACTTTGTTCATTACTAATGCCTCCAAACCCTATAATAGGACCTAACACAAAATAGGTTCTCAAGAAGGAGTTTGTGGATGGATGAATAATTATGCCTGACTCAGGATCATGGTGAAGGGCAGATCCTTCTAAAAGCTCAGTGTTGGGGCACCTGGGTGGCTCAGTCGGTTGAGCGTTCGACTTCAGCTCAGGTCATGATCACGCAGTTCGTGGGTTTGAGCCCCGCATGGGGTTCTGTGCTGACAGCTAGCTCAGAGCCTGGGGCCTGTCTTCAGATTCTGTGTCTCCCTCTCTTTCTGATCCTCCCCTGCTCATGCTGTCTCTATCTCTCTCAAAAATAAATAAAACATTAAAAAAATTTTTAAATAAAAAAACTCAGTGTAGCATCCAACGCTTTGAAGAGTGCCTTTCCATGTATGGATTTCCTCTTGTTCTATGGGGAACCTTCTGCTTCTCCTCAAGAGTACAAAAAGAGATTTCAAATCATTGGTAGGGTTTCCAGGAACTTTAAAGAAAGGAGAAGGGTCAGAAACAAATTCCCTGGAGTGCCTGAGTGTCTCAGTCAGTTAAGTGACTGACTCTCGGTTTCACCTCAGGTCATGAACTCAAGGTTTGTGAGTTCAAGCCCCATGTCAGGGTCTGCGTTGCCAGCTATGGGTTCTTGGGATTCTCCCCATCTCTCTCAACCCTTCCCCCATTCATGCTGTCTCTGTCTGTCTGAAAATAAACTTCAAAAAAGCAAATTCCCAGAGTAACATGTCCTCCTTCTGCCTCCCCAGGCTGTGGAAATGGCAATATCCCCCTCAAATAAGGAAGCTGCTGAAGGAGGCGCAGCTACTCAAGCCACACATTGTAATTGGGGACGGCTGGTATTCTTTTGATGATGATGACCGGTACTGGTGGAAAAACTGAAGACGTGAAAACTCTCCCCACCCACATGCATTCTGATGGAGGAACATTGAAAGCGGTTCTTGGACAAGCTGTGCCCAGGACTCCCCTCTCACAGATGGAATATGATTTCTGATTTTCACAAAGCCCTCATTGGTAACGATTCTTGTGTGTCCAATATGTCTTGGCTATGGATTTGCCTCTGACATAGGGTGTGACCTTCAAGTCCTAGGATTTCAGTATCTATGAAATGCCTGTCCTACTCAGAGAATATAGAGAAAATCAAATAAACACTAAGAGCATTTAGGGAATAAGTACCATGTGGCCTTGAGCAGTGGAGATGTGATCTAGAAGAGTAGGAAAACAGGTCCCAAAAGAGGCCCCCAAATGTTAGTGATGCACTTCTGCTGGAGTTTAAAAAAATAAGATATTAAAGCACAATATGAAAGTCAAAGAAGTTGTGACTATCAGTATCTAAATATAAATACAAAGCCAAGTGTATTGCTTACTGTAGTGAAGAACTGGTCTACCACCATCCCTCTGAGAAGAGCAGACTGCTGATCTCATGTAGGCAGGGATGTGGGGAAGTGTGAAGTTCAGGGATTGGTGAATCTTTGGAGTGAGTTGACATGCAGCTCCTCAGGTAAGACTGCTTAGTCATTCACAGCTGTGTTCACTGGACTAACTCCTTCCTGATTGGCTGAATTTCAGACACTAAGGGGAGTCCTCAGTTGGCTTGTCAAAGCATGTTCACTGAGGCAAGTTGTCTTGGATCCATTTAGTGGGCTTAGACCTGGTTGGGTGGCTACTTGTTACCATGGCTACAGAACAATAAGTCTCTTCCTAGGAAAGTGGGAAATTCTTGGTGTTCTCACCAATATGTACTTTTTTATTCCTTATATTTGTTTATCTAGTCTATGATGATGATACCTAACACACATAGTTTTATTGTATGCCAGGCTCTATTCTAAGCACAATCTACAACTCATTTGGTCTTCAAATCTAGGCATAATTTTTCAAACCTGGAAATGTTTTAGGCTTGTTCCATGTCAGCTCAAATTAGATGGTGATTGGCCTGCCTCCTCTCATCACTGTAATATGGCTGATGAAAAGTTTATGCCAGGTATAGGAGAAACATGAGCCCTGTGGTTTCCTTGGGTTTATGCTGTTAGCATTATCTTCAATCTGTGGTGTCTTTGCAGGAATACTTTTTTTAAATGTTTATTTTTCATTTAGAGAGTGCACATGAGTGGTGGAGGGGCAGAGAGAGAGGAACAGAGAAAGATTCCCAAGCAGCCTCTGCACTGTCGGCACAGAGCCCAATGTGGGGCTCAATCCCATGACCCTGGGATTATGACCTGAGCCAAAATCAAGAGTCGGATGCTCAACTGAATGAGCCACCCAGGTGCCCCAGGAATACTTTTTAAACACATGTTCTGGGAGTGTTCACATTACATAATGCTGTACATTGGGCCAGTGGGACATGGTTTATAGGATATGAATGGGGGAGGGTTGTCACAGTGATACCTTCTAAACTGGAGATGCCTCAGTCTTCAGAATACTATTCTCCCACGTGGGACATGTGACCATCTGACCTACAGACCCAGTGAGGCAGTACCCCTAACGCTTTTGTTAAATACTAATAAAGCACCACTCTTTTGGTCTTTTTAAAGAATATCATGTTATATATAGCTAAAAAATACCTAATGCCTGCCTTCTGTGTTTAATGGAGTTTCCTGAGTACTGCTTGTCCCTGCCTCCCCCTGAAGAGTACATATATCCCGCTTTGGAAAATTCCTGCCCAAAAAGGAAGATCAGAGTGAAGGCAACAGCTTTTCTTATTCAGATCCGTATTGAAATCCTGGCTCTGCTCAGTGACACTAGACAAATGTCAACCTCCATCGGCCTTTGTTCCCTTATCCGTAAGATAAGGAAAATGCTACCTGCCTCTTATGGTCAGTTTGAGAAGAAGAATTTTGGAAAAGCTCCCTGGCAGCTAGAACATTCATCCCACAAATATTTATTAAGTACCTACCTGTGTTATCTCTGACAGTTCACAATATTTTCACAAACTTAGCAGCTTAAAACACATGGTCTCCACAGGGGATCACGAAGCCACGATGAATGTGTCTGATGGGGCTGTGGTCTCACCTGGGACTCAACTGGGGAAGGAACCTCTTCCAAACTCAAGCGGTTCCCAGAAGTGCTCATGTGTTTGCAGGCTGTTGGATGGAGGACCTCAGGCTTTTTCCTGCTGGTTGTCAGCCAGGGAGCATTCCCACATACTTGCCATATCACCCCCTCCACATGGCAGGCTGCTTCTTCAAAGCTAGCAAGGGGTCTCTCTGCAAAACAGACTTATTATTTCATGTTACCACAGAAGCGAGGTCCCACCAACTTTGCTGTATTCTATTTGGCTCTAAGTCACAAGTCCTCACACTCAAGGGGAGGAGACCCCATGAGGACATGAACATCGGGATGAAATGATCATGGGGCCACATTATAGTCTGTCCAATGCTCTGCTCTAGGCTCTAGGGGAAGCCACTCTCAACTCACTTCTGTGTTGGAAAGGGCAGCTTCTATCTTGCTCCTCCCCGTACCCCGAGCCATCTCCAAGGGTAGAGAAGAAGTTGTCTAGTTGGTAAGGCCAAAAGGAAGACACCGGACCTGGGCACTCCTTTCAAGCAGCCTGTCCTTGGCTTTCCTGTTCCATGTAGCAAGTTTCCAGGGGCTGGAGGACTCTGGTTAAGGCAAAGTGTTAGTAATCTGCAAGTACAAGCCATTCAACAAATGGAGTTTTGAGTGTTGGAAGTGACACTGTGATCTATATCTAACTCCTGATTTCTTATTTGATTCCAAGTTCCAAATGGGGGAGATGAAATGGTGATTATTCCTGGAAATGCCCAGTCCCTATGTGCTGGCCGCTAGGCCAGGGCTGACTGTTCAGCAGCACACAAGGGCAGCAAGGTCCCTACTGTCTCTGACATTCTAGCAGGGAGACCAGTACAAGCTGCAAATGTCCACTCAAACATCCTACAAAGAATCAGACAGTGGCATGTTAACAAGAGCAGGCCAGCCGTTGTTGACTTTGGAGCCTGAGAAGGCCACTTTTCTTCTGTACTGTTTGTATTTTTTAAACCTGGCTTTGGGATAGGATTTACATTCAGTAAAAAATTCCCTCCGTTTAGTGAGTGGTTCTCAGTTTTGACAAACAGTTGGATAGCCTTCATCAAAATATACAGAACGGTTCATCTTCCCAAAACCTCCCTCATGCCTGTGCGTACCCCTCAGTCACTCCCCACAGCCTCCCGGTGCTTCTGAGTTAACCAGACCTGGAACTGGCCACCCATGGAATCGTTTCTGGGTGTCGCAGGGATAGGGGCTTCAGGTCAGGATTCCTAGCCTGCCTTTCTGTGGCGCCACAATTCCCCTGAACTTCCCCAGATGTGCACTAGATGGTAGTAGAGCACCAGCCTTATCTTTCTAAGCCAAACCTGCGGAAAGAAGTGCCCACGCCTCCCAGTTGTGAGGTTTTCCTGTAACAGCCCTGTTAGCGCTGTTGTGGGGGAGGATCCGTGCAAGACAGGATGTCAAGGAGTCTCCCTGGCTTCTGCCCACTAACATGGAGCCCCCCTGCCTCCAGACACTGCCAGATGTCCTTGGGGGGGGGTGGTGCAAAATCGCCCTTGCCTGAGGAGCACGCTCTGCATTAAGCCAGAAACCTCCCTCAGAAGAAGAATCCTCGGTGGCTTTCCCTGCAGCCCGGCGGGTCAGACTGATTTACAGGCAATCCCATATCAGTATGCAGTGCTAAGGGTACCGCCACTTCCAGTTCCTTCCATCCGAGAGGGGCGTCTGTGTAACCGGGCACCCAAGAGGGTCGCTGCATTATCCATAGTTGCCAAAACCTGGGAGCAATCAAGACGCTCTTCAGGAGGTAAATGGATAAACACACTGTGGTCTTGCAAGATCATGAAATATTATTCAGCACTGAAAAGAAACGAGCTATCAAGCCACGACACGGAGGAATCTTAAGTGCACATTACAAAGTGAAAGAAGCCAATCTGAAAAGGGTACGAGCCGTATGATTCCAACCATGTGACATTCCAGAAAAGACAAAACTACGGAGACAATGAAAATACCACAGCTTGCCATAGGGCGGGGGGAGGGGAGAGAGATGAACAGGCGGACGTTAGGGCAGTGATATTACTCTGTATGATACTGGAATGATAGATACAGTGTACACTTGTCCAAATCGATAGAACATATGACACAGAGAACGAACCCTAATGTAACCTGTAGGCTTTGGATGATAATGATGTGTTGGTACAGGTTCATCAATGGTTAACAAATGCATCACTCTGGTGGAGGGTGTGGATAGTGGGGGAGGCTGTGCACGGGTGGGTCAGGCGGTATGTGGAAAATCTGTGTACCTTCCACTCAGCATTCTGTGAACCCAGAGCTGCCCTGAAAAGATAGTCTACTTAAAAAAAAAAAAAAAAAAAGGAAAGAGTCTGATTGCAGAGTTCTTAAAGGCTTAGTGAAAACCAACTCAAACTTTCCATAGACTGGAAAGACCTGTCAGTCAAATGGCTTTTCTTCACCTTTTTGCCACAGGTCATGACCATGATCAAAAATTGAAGGGTGGGGAGAGATAAAAACTCAGAAAACTATTTTTAAAAAAATTTTTAATGCTTCTTCATTTTTGAGAGAGACAGAATGTGAGTGGGGGAGGGGCAGAGAGAGAGGGAGACACAGAATCTGAAGCAGCTCCAGGCTCCGAGCCATCAGCACAGAGCCTGACGTGGGGCTCGAACTCATTAACCGTGAGATCATGACCTGAGCTGAAGTCGGACACCTAACCAGCTAAGCCACCCAGACACCCCCAGAAAGCTAATTTTTTTTTTAACAAATCTTCTTCTGCAACTGTTATGAACTGAATGTCTGTGTCTCTCCCCGCCCCAACACCAAATTCCTGTGTTGAAATCCTAATCCCAACGTGATGGTATTAGGAGGTGGGGCCT